GGGTGCGCCAATAACAACCCGCTACTCATTTCTAATCAGTCGCACCCACTCGTTTGCATGTCTTTCAACACTCAACTTCTAACTAAGGGGAAAGTTTCAGGAACACTCGCACCCGTGGTGCGAGTGTTCCTGTTCACATCACAAAAGTGGTATGATATGAGATAAGTATGACTAAAAGCACCACAAGCCGTGCAGCGTTTTCTGAAACATGTACCCAACAATTCGTAAAATCTTACCCACACCGACAATGCGAATACCCGTACCCGCACTTCCCTAAATTCACAACCCAGCCCAGCTTGTTACCTATGTCATATGGGTGGCCATGGGTTTACTCAACCAGTTAAGTACCACAGTTCACGCGACGCGACGCAGTTTGTGTGACGCGAACATGACAATCACAGCTCATGCCGAAGGTCATCAAAACACCTGGTCACCACAGCTGGTAGGCGGACGATTCCATGCTCCGAGCCATCGGAGCCGACAGCCCCCAAACCTTTACGATTCCATGCTCCGAACCAACGGAGCCGGCAGCCACCAAACCTTTACGATTTCATGCTCCGAGCCAACGGAGCCGACAGTCACCAAACCTTCACGATTCCATGCTCCGAGCCAACGGAGCTGACAACCGCCAAACCTTCACGATTCCATGCTCCGAGCCAACGGAGCCGACAGCCACCAAACCTTTACGATTCCATGTTCCGAGCCAACGGAGCCGACAGCCACCAAACCTTTACGATTCCACGCTCCGAGCCAACGGAGCCGACAGCCACCAAACCTTTACGATTCGATGCGTGATGGCCGATGACGTATCATCCAAAGAACATGATGACCTCGGGTGAGGTCAAAGATCAGTCGGGAATAAACTGAAATCGATTTTGGTAGCTTTGCGCTTTTTGTGACCTGGGACCTGACTCAAGGTCACCATGTTCTGGAAAGGGCAGGTTATCGACCATGTCGCTTCGAATGCTGAAGGTCTCGTGGTGACCAATCCCATAAGACCGGAAAATGGGACCGTCAAAAGCGTTGCATACTCTTTGGAGACATTTCAATCATTGCTTTTGCTAAGACACGAGGGTACCAGGCATTTCTTCGAGAATGATTGCTATCATTATATATGTACCTAGCTGACATCATTCTAACGTAGCGCCGCGCAAAATCGCCACGCCCAGCGACAGGCTCCAGGCGCTGGGATCCAGGCCAGAGCCGGTGCCATAACGCACCTATAGCGGGTCACGGGATCCGTCGTGATATGCCATCACTTCGGGCCACGGGGGACCATTACGGCAGATTGTAGGGACCTGTGTGAGAGGGTGTGACACAAACAGACGTTCAGCTTCGCCAAGGCGACCTTGCATCGCAAAAACCTGACCGGAAAGCGGACACACGGTCGCTTCCGCAACCAATGTCATGGTGACTCGACCCCGTTGCCAACCAGACGCGGCTCAATGAACTGAGCACGTTCCGGGTCAGCCGGTTGAACTGACCCCTGAGGCCGGCAAGATGTCACATGCCTCGGGCGGCTCTGCCAATGGGGCTGAGCGAACTGAGGCTACTCGCAATCCTTCTCCAGTGTTCGTTTGTAATTATTGTTCACACTTAGCGCGTGACCCTGCCCGTGGGCGCTATGACACACACACACACAAACGTCCCTAAGTCATGGTCGCTCTCCGGCGCAGACACATTAGGCAGCACCCATGTTTGCAACGGATTGTAAGCCTTACACCAATAATTAGATCTGACTGAGGCGTCCCCCGAACCACCACCGGACATCTGCTTTTGTCGGGCCATGGCGCTAGCATGCGACGCATGGTAAACATCTCAAGCCTTCTGAGCACAAGCAAGCGCTCAGGCACGTAAGAAGCCTGGGTCCGTTTCAGCGATGTCGTCAGCCTGCAAGGGATATTGTCCACCTGGCGACGGCTGTACGGAAGGCTCCATTCAAAGGATGTCGCCCGACACCCAGGATTTTGAGACTTACCGCGAATTCTCAGACCCTGTTACAAAATCGGTTGGTGCACGCCATTTATACTGGTACTGCCGAGCGGTCATGACGCCTTCCGAAACACCCTTGGCAACAAAAAAATAGCTCATGCGCGGTGCATAATGTTCGTGCCTAGGTCAACGCATTCTGCGTCAGCTCTCTTGCACTCTTAAGAACCCCGTCAACAACACTCTTCACAGCCCCATCTCAGCCCAGCAAGGACCGCTTGGCTGGTCCTGCTAGATAGCTGGATCCAGTCCGACCTGGGGCTTCCAGGGCTCTAGACATGTCTGGTAGGCCTTGCAGAAGGCTCATTTATCACTGCTAATTGCATTCCTCAAGAAGAGAATCTATGAAACAAATTAGGGCGTCTTTGGGCATCTAAAGCGGGTCATTCAACTTCCAAGTCCTCATACGAGAGCAAACGCCCTTTCGCCCTCCCTTTCTTGGTCATGCCGTTGACCTGGTAAATGTCCATTAATCGCGTCCGCCGTCTGTTATTCAACAGCACGTCAACAGTCCACAAAATCTTGCAATGCGACAAAGGGTGACCTGCGACTCACCTGTGATGTTTTCCACGTGCCTTTCGGGTTTAACATTCCACTTGTATCGGGGTCCAAGCATCACAAAGTCGTGGTAAGAGATTCGCAGCTGAGAATGCCGTCGGATACTGCATGGGTGGCCTTCCCTGACCTGCACCGCCACCGAACGTTTGGGCGTTTCTATTGCAAATAAGCGGCTGTGGTCCGCGGCCTTTGGACACGCCGAAAGCCGGCCTCTTTGTCCGCGCATACACAATGCAGCATTCAGCCCTTAGCGCCAGACCAAAACACAGTCGTACCCCGGGTCGTATAAAACGGGACCGAGACTGACTGAGAGCAGTGCGGAGCCCGCCGGCAGCGTTTCAGTGGTCTGCTCCACTCCCGACTGAGAGAACGGTCCGGACCTCTCACCCCAGCCATGATCAGGCTGCTCGCCCTAGGTGTTTATGTGGCGGCGGCGATCGCTAAGCCGGAAGGAGTCGCCGAGAGGGTGACGCAAGGTGAGGTGAGGCCGCGCTGCAGTGAATCTCAGGACAGAGTTTTTCAGCCCCATCAGGAAAGAATGGTGCTGAAAAAACGAGGTGCGCGTTTAAGCCTCACGCACTTCAAATGGTGTTTCTTCCTTACATTAAGGGCGATCTAATTTACTTCCTGTACTTACTGTTACATCGCACCCTGCAATTGTTTCTAAGAAGGCCGCTTAGGTAAAAGCTAAGCTGCGAGAGGTGCCAGCGCATCCCATTGAGTAACCCTGATGATACAGGTGGGCCCCGATAGCAGCGCTATGGAATTACCAGGCAGTTTTTGTTGTTTCCAAGTGGCTTGCTTTCTTTGACAAAAGCGAGTAAGCCCCGATCGCGTTTTCCATACGAACCTTGCTTTCATCACATCACAAAACGGTCCCATTTCCACATTTCGGTCAGCATGGTGCGGCCTAGCCGACGAGCCAGCGGTGGGGCGCGCCAGCGCAGGAGCTGTACCGGAGCACGGGCTCTCAGACCGAGCCGCGTGACCCGCGTGCCTGACGAACCCCCGCAGAACACGGCTCCAGCCGTCCCCCGGCCACCCCACCCCACGAGCTCACACCTCACCTGACGTTCCAGCGTCAGCGGGGGCGGCGCCTGCGAGCGCTGGCGTCCAGGCGGAGTCGACGAGCGGGGCCACGTCAGGGGCTGGGAACGTGACGGTGGCGAGCGTGCTGGCCGGCATCGACACACTCTCCACATCGCTGAGCGAGCTGGAGCAGCGCACCGCCTTGCTCGAGGCGGCGGCCGAGCCGGTGGCGGACGCCCAGGGCGTGCACCAGCTCATGGCCGACGTCTCGCGGCGGCAGGCCGAGCAGGGCGCCCAGCTGAAGCGGGGCCTGCAGCGCGTGCGCGCCCAGGTGGTCATGATGAAGAGCGTGCTGCAGAAGCTGCACTCGCTAGCGGCCGAGCTCGGCAGCGAGACGCCGGGGCGGCAGCAGGATCAGCAGGATCTGCTGCCGCGAATGGTGACCTTCTTCAAAGCGCTGCGCACGAACGGGAAGGCCGGCGGGCAGAACGTGCCGCTGGCGCTGCTGTACAAGGCCGGCTACAACGTGTTCGACATGATCGGCTTCGACCCGACCGACACCAACATCGACTCGCTGCTCAACCTCCACATCGTCTACCCCAAGCTGTAACCGGCGTGGGCGGAGCCGCCGGTGATGACTGGCCCTGCGCCGCCTCGGCCCGTCCGATCGATGAAAATGCGACGCCACGGCTTGCCAGTCCTCAGCGCAGAAATGCGTCTTACGAACGGCTTAATTGCGTGATGCATAACTGCTCTGCTGTAGCGAACTGAGTATACTGTGTTTAAAATTGAGCAAATACAGCGGCGCCCGACCTGTCGCTCGAGTTCGTTCCGTACCAAGGGCCGAGCAATCCCGCGAGCAGCCGCTGAGCGGTTTTCCCGTTTTATTTCCACATCCTGTGCCGAATCAGAGCAACCCAACCTACTTCACGCGGAATGGTTATCATATCACAACAAAAAACATCTCTGCCCGCGACCGCGAAATGCGAGTACACCCGCCATCCACATTATGCCCATGTTACATGACCACCGAAAGGCGCCGAATGCATGACGATACCACAGCACCTGCAACGCGATTTAGTGGGCGTTGGAAACCACGTGGGCGTGAAGTGCGCGCAACGCGTTCATCTGAGTCGAAATGACTTCGGGAATTACGTGACTGTGCGTTCGCAGCGTACACACAACAGCCAAAAGAGCACCTCTCCTCAAGCCAAATCAAATGCTTTAACCCAGTTCGCGACGAAGTTCAGATCGCTGGAACTTTTGAACAGGCGTCGCACAAAATTTCAGCTTCCCCGGCTGAGCCGGCCGGAAGACCCCACCAGACGCCCCCACCGGTGCACACAGGCTCGATCACATGGCGACACCCTCCGCATGGAGGGCGACACTCTCTCCCTCTCCAACAGCGGGTCTTTGTACTGGGCCTAGCTGCCGGTGACGGCCGCCACCAGTCTGTTGACCTGTTCAGCCACCAAGGCGGCGTACACGGGGCCCTCGGTGCGCACCAGCTCCCAGCCGGCGCAGCTGAGCTCCCAGGCGGAGCAGGTGGCGCTGCAGACCAGCCTCCAGGCGGCGGCCGCGTAGCCGGGCGCCTCGCGCTGCACGGCTGCCCAGGCGACGCCGACGCCGCGCTGCGCCGCGGCCGCCCACTCCAGCAGGGCGGGCCCGGCGTCCTGCCGCAGGCGCGCCGCCGCCTCCAGCGCCCCCGCCTTCACGGCAGTGCCCTGCGCGCAGGCGGCTTCCCAGTAGGGGCCGGCGGCGGCGAGCGCGGCGCCGCCGGCCGCCTCGGCCGCCTCCCAGCCGCTCCGCGCCGCGTACGCGCCCAGCGCCAGGGCCCGCTCGCCGGCCAGCCGGCCGTACTGGCCGGCCGCCCGCCACGCGCCGCCGGCCGCCGCCTTGGTGGTGCTCCACGAGTCGCCGCAGCTGTCGGTCAACAGCCGGTCGAGTCGCGCCGCCAGGCCGCCGCCCCACTCCCAGACGTCGAGCGCACGCGTCACCAGCACGTCGCCGGCGGCGGTGCCCAGCTCCGAGGCGCGCTTGAGCAGCAGCAGGCCGGCGTCGAGCGCGCGCCCGCCCTGTTGGCGCGTCAGCGTGCCCAGAGCCCCAAGGTTGCTGGCCAGGCCCGAGCGCGACATGTCGCCGCCCGAGTGCAGGTACATGGCGCCGCCGCCCAGCGCCAGCGCCGTCACCAGCAGCACCAGGTTCAGCTTGGCGAGCGCGGACCAGCCGGCCGCTGGAAGCGGAGGGCGGAGTCAGCGTGGCGCGGACACAGTCGACGCATCACGACGGTCATAATCACTTAAGTGTTTGGATGGATACATGACAATCCCTTGCCCGACCCGTGTGAACACGCATCTTAACAGAACCAAAGGTTTGACAACCTGGCAGGAATGAGTCGGTTTGAATATGAATAGTCCCAGGTCAACCGGATCGTACACCTCGGCATGCGAACAAAGGGTGAAACATAATGCAGTAATTTTCACACGGCTGTCCCGTTGACACTACAGCCCTGTGCGCCACAATTTTGGTAATCCTCAACGTAATGCAGGTTTGACGTATGTTAGAAAAAAATAAGATACGACGTAGTGTAAATAAAAAAAAAACATGGCTGAGTTGCCAGATGCGGTTCCAGGTCCGTAACAAACGAGGTCACGGCTCGGCAACACGATGAAAAACACGCATCTCCTCTTTAGGTTATTGGGGCATTGGGTGGCATCACAAATCTAGCCTTCTTTAACGTTTGATGCTGTATCCAAACCGCAGCGTCGTCATCTCGATTATTAACCTCTGCATCCTGCGTTACCAATCTCACCATTAAGGACGTGTTTCGATTTCATAGACGTGAAATGAAAACAACGAACATTTTCAAAAAAGAAATTACAAGACCGTCCACTGAGACCAAACAGTGCTAGATTGATTTGGGATTAACTCTTATTCAGAGGCATAGGAACATCCCAGAAAGTGTGTATGGAGGCGAGAGGAAGTGACAATCTTGAGGTCACCCCGCTCCACGCATCGTCATAGGGTTACAGATACACAGTCTCAAAAAGCGGAGGGATCATTGTTCCCTTGTGTCCCCCGATTCTTAAGCCTATAACACAATGGTACACAAGCCGGTCAGAAACTTACCACTCTCCACCTTGCTGGACTTGTAAGCTGACTTGACCGGTGATGCACTCTTCAGCTGCTCAGCATCTGGATGGATTGCCTGCAGCTCTTCTATCTTCTTCTGATCTCTCAACTCTTGCTTCCTTTTCTCCTTCTTAGCCTTCTTCTCCAATCTTAGCCTCTCCTTCTCCACCTCCTCGGCCGCCAGTTTTGCATCCATAAGCTCTGCATTCACCAACGGTAAAATGTACATCAGCAGCGTCTGCATGTGATAGGAGAATGTACTGAGATGTTTCAAACTTTAGGCATCGTGATGTATTTTCTGTATGCATTAGTACCCTCACAAACAACACTTACAAATACATCAGCCTAAAGACTTCTTGTCATTGCTTACTTAAACAATGCATCCTGGTAACAAATTACAGACAACTATGAGACAACTATCATGAAGTGCTGGTTCAACCATATTTTAGTGGAGTACAATGGGAGCGAAGCATCCAATTTCGGAATGTGCGACAAAAGTCAGTGGAAATTACCATTGCATTCGGCAAAGATGCATGTGTCTGAGATGTATGATCTCATTCTGACACCACAGCTGTGCATGCAACAAACATGCAGGAAATGAAACTACATATAATGCAACTGTCAAACCCTGATACCACGCTCATCTTATCATTGATGTCATAGGGATGTATGCAGCACAAAGGCCGTGCTAAGTTCTAAGCAGCTACTGTTGAAATGTACTGCACTGGATTCGATCTACACTCGCACACAGTGCTGTCTTAAATCAAAGACTGAATGAACTCTGCACATGGTAATTCCTAAGTTACGATTGATCCAACCCAGGTGCATCCCGACAAGTCTGTCAACAGACTTTCTGAGAGCAGCGGCACCGTAAGGCGCGCTCGTAATTAGGCGCTAAAAGGTTTACTTCAGTCCTTGCTCGACTGAGGATCAAAATACAGATAGCACATAAACTTTAAGTTTGAGCTCACAATTCGCCTGGGCACCCGTTATAGACTTTTTCTTTTGGTTTAATGGCTACTGGAGATTGACAGTCAGAGCGTTATCTTGGTACAAAGATGATACTGCATGTTGCAAAATTCTCTAGACGAGTTGTTTCATCTTTTTAGTACACAAACAAATTGCCGATCCCTTAAGCCCGTCGTCGACGTGCGAATGGCGCAGTACACGACACGTCCTCAAAGTGCATTGATCTACAATTTATGACATGAAATCGCACATTAGAGAAAATGCTGACGGCAATTTCATACCTGACCCCGCCTGCGCCTCCTGGAGAGGTAGGTTAATACAGGATCGTATCAAGTGACTATCGAACCGCCTCGTATACCTCTAACAGCTACTTTCAAAGTAGCTGTCTATCAGCTCCTGTGGCGATCCACGACTAAATTTCGCGACGATTTCAGGATCTGACGTGACGCACCTTTGATCTCGATTGACTTTAGCAAGTGGTACTCGCACAAATGACACGCCTTTTCGCCGCTTGGTATCTCGAGGCTTTGAACCCCTTGATGAGGAGAGCTGAAATGCTTCGTTCACGTGCTAAACTTCTTTAGCCGTAATTCAGTTGCGTGCATACCAAATGCATGCGTCATTGCAATTAGAAACAGGAACGTATGCATGTAATAAACATGAAAAGGCAATGATCGCCGGTGACTACTCGACCGTGTCGCCACACAGCTGAGAGTGAACGCGACCTCATCACCGAACACACGTATCACTAATGCTCATTTAACAGAACGGCACCCTTACGCTTACTTCTCGGCCATCAAACACGTTAAGTCATGCGGTATTCTGCTGGTGCAGAAACGGCAGTGGATCTGCTTGTGCACGCTATTTCCGCCGTCGTTACTACATACAAGCGCGCATGCCACCATACAATAGCATGTGGTCTATGATAAACATCAAGACGACACACCCTCAATACGAAGGAAAGACGAGTCGTAACAGACAGACAAATGGGTGTGTAACGCGCCGATGGCGCGGCGGTGCGCTGGTTACCTTTCTCGAGCTGTTGACGCCGCAGCCGTTCCTGTTCGTAGTGCTCTTTGACGCGTCCCATGAACTGGACGACGCGCCGTGCGCACTGCTCGCACTCCTTGGGGTTGAGACATTCGCCGGCGGCCTGCGCCAGCTGCGGGCTCAGCTGGTTGTTCTTCAGATCCAGCCATCGCAGCGAGGTCAGCTGGTGGAAGCTCGGCGGCAGGTGGGACAACTGTAATTATGCGCATCAGTTGAGGCTTCCGACATGAAGGTAATGCCAATGAACATAACTTGGGGTGAACAGCTGAGTCGATTGCTGAAGTCATGTTGCACCCATTTGATCAATGACCCAAGTGATTCGCACCCGTGCGCTGTGACACAGCCCAGTGGGGTGTTAGATGTCACGATTTCAGTCCAGGGAAGCATCGGGAACACACAATTTTGCCTGGAGACATCACAATTAGAACAAAACCTCCATGTAGTGGCAGTGGTACATCTGCTACAAACACCTGATGTAGGTATAGGCTATGTGGTACAAACATCTTATGGTCACCTGAAAACCAAAGTCATATTTCCTTGATAATGTACATGTCCTCAAAATCACAACAGCCAACACCAATGATCCACCAATACTTTTTTTTAACTTAAACCAACATTCAACACAACTAATAAAAATCCATCTATATCCACAATCCCCACAACAGACAGAGCGATTTTACTCACTGTACCTTATTGTTGTACAGATCCAGGTGTCTGAGGCGATGAAGTTCCCCAAAACTGGATGGCAGCTCTGTGATGAGGTTGCAGCTCAGATCCAGCTTCACCAGATGAGTCAATGACCCAAATGACTTCTGCAAACATGTCAAAAGTGTGAATAATACAGACTCACAGTAAAAAAAGCAGCAATGAATATTTTACCCAATAAAAATGCATCCCATGTCCTCAAAAATCAAGAACATAAGGCACTCTGGGATCAGTAGAATCAGGGTATTGCACAAATAAGGCCCCACGCTTATCTATGGACATGAGTTAACCTAACATGATATCACATTTCCTTGCTAACATGCATGTTAACAACAGCTGATATGCCCAGACACTAGCGGTCGAAAGGCAATATCGTATTTGAACGGAGATGACATTTTGGTTGTGAGCAAATCACAAAATCTAATGTTTTGACCATTTGATCCAGGAAATCTTCCATGGTGATGTGATATCAGAAGATATCAGGGGATATATTGTACAGTCTTGGTAATATTTATGCACCCAAGTGCCCTCGTTGTCACTGGGGCGTTACGACACGCTCGGTTGCTGGGGCTACATGGCATCGCCTGCCTCTCGCCGGGCGGGCACCGCGGGCGTCCGAACATGGTAATTCTGAGTTCTTGGACACACAGGTTGACCACTTCACTACCGGCACATCTATATGAATGCCTGCAGGACCACTTTTTTACACCAAATATGCTAAATTGGTGACTGCGCCAACCATCAACACCTTCAACAACAGAAACATCTGTGAGGGCGGTGATTTGCGACCATGGTAGTGAATCTACAAACTGACTGCCAGCTTCTGGCTGGTATGCAGTAGGCAACTGACAAATAATAGGTTACTTCTGAAAAATACTGAAATAAGTATCAACAATTCAGCCTTTCTTAGCAACATCATCCCAAAAATCACAAATGGTTACACACTAAGGGTAACTAACACTGCTTAAAGAGCCCTTCTTATATGGGGTCCAGCCTGGCCAATGTTAAGCCATAATGGGCCAAACAGGTCTTACTTACCACTCACCCTGATAGGGAAGGGGGTTGATGCAGCCCCCCTGAAGTTTTTTGACAACACCTCTCTAACATGTTATGCAACTACACTCAAATTCTCATGGGCTTATAGGAAATCCATTGAGCATGCCTTATCATAAAAACAAGTCCCTAACAGTTGTGGTTCAGTGAAGTGGCAGTTTTTGAGGAAACCTGCACAGTGATCTATGGCCAGCTGGCAGTAGCCGACCATGCTGAGGAATGTGTGTGATGGCCCATTGATGATGATGATTGAGGTTTTGGGGCGTGTCAACTTCTAAGGTCATTTTATGCCCAAGTATGATGGCCAATTAAGTAACATTAACAGAGTAATACATCACAACCACATGGCCAACATGCATAGAGTCAACATACAGGAGTCAAGATTACATTCCCACATTATATCCCTTGTTGCTGGGTTGTGGTGCATCTACCATAATTTCTGCCACTGGAGATAAGGAGACATGAAGATAGATGACATATGCTAGAATACCAACTATATTTGTGTTGAAGCCACATGAGAGCAAATACATAATTATTAATCTTTGATGCATGGTAGCATGCTTGATTTCCAAACAACCATGCTTACAGGCAATCCGGTGAGCTTGTTGTTGGACAAATCCAATTTTGTTGCCCTCTTCAGAAGTGCCTGTTGAAACACAAAATACATGGCTTGTTACTTTCTCACAGTTCAAGCAGAAGGATCATATTTGTTATTGCTTTTTATGTAATGAAGACACAAAAGACAGCACAGCTAGCATGGCTTTGCTTTGAGAAGCAAATGAATCAACAATGTCACAACCAAGCCTGGATACACATGAGTGTATGACACATAACACACATATATCTCAGCCTGAACAGCATTAAAATATTCATCAAACAAAGGCTGGATATTCAGAAGTCACTTCTTTAAAAACACTCACAATGTCCTTGACAGGAACGTCTCTGTCTGCATAATTGCTAATGCTTAAGTCCAGCTCATCATCATTCAGCTTGTCCTTCAGTGGATTCTTTATTTGCGCCATTATGCACGAAATGTATGCTGCCTTTAACGGTTATCTGCACGCAGCTACCGGAACCGGTTGCACAGGGAAGCAAGTATATTTTGTGAAAATAAGGACTTCGGTCGCCCGGCTTTTTTTTACTTGGGTACCTGTATTGCCGACGGTGGGGAGAGAGCTACGCTGGCTGCAGGGTTCCTGTACTGCCGTGATGGAGAAGTGCTGTTAGGTATCAGCCGACGTAGTGACGTCACTGAAAATGGGTTTCCATCGATCGGGGTTCTTTTGGGCCGACTGAAGGCTACAAGGCATTTGCTAGCGATATGATGTCACTGGTATTCGACTGGATATGTGACGTCACTGGTTGTGAGGCTTAAGGGATCTTTTGGGTGCAATGAATGCCGTAAAGCATCACCTGACGATATGTCGTCGCTGGCATTCAATGAAACATCAGGCGCAACAGGCCTTATTCCATCTTTACCTTTCGTACCTGTCTGCTGCAAGCATTTGCGCGCCGAATAAAAGCTTGACCGAATCACCTGAATGTGTGGCGTCACTAATCATCACTTGATACGAGTGCACTTAGGCCCCACGGCCGCGGTGTATCATGTTCCGTGAAATATCACCAGGTATCGTGACGTCACTGATATTCGACTAAATATTGGTCGCAACAGGTCATGCCTCATTTTTACCTTCGTACCTGTCTGCTGCAAGCACTGGCGTGATGAATAAAAGCTACCAAATCACGTGAGTGTGTGACGTGAATCCACAAATCACGTCACTGGTCATGCATTTTTATGGATCTTTGGGGGCCAACTGAGGGCCGTAAAGCATAACCTAATGATGTGACGTCACTGGCATTCGACTGTGTGTGATGTCACTTGTGATCAGATTTTACTGCCTCTTTTGGGCCGACGAAAGGTCATACGACATTAACTGAAGATGTGACGTCACTGGTATCCGAATAAAATTCAGGCGGGACAGGCCATGCTTCATCTTTACCTTTGGTACCTGTCCATTGCAAGCATTTGAATGCTGAAGGAAGGCTCTGCCGAATTACCTGAATGTGTAACGTCACTAGCCATTAATTTATATAGACTGCTTTGAACCCACCGTAAGCCACACCACATCAGCTGACCATATGACGTCACCGGTTTTCGTCTAGATGTCATGCGCAACGGGCCATGCTCTATCTTTGCCTTTCGTACCTGTTTACTGCAAGCATTCGCGTGCTATATCAAGGTGATGCCGAACCATCTGAGTGCGTGACGTCACTGGTCATGAGTTTATACAGGCTCACTTGGGCAGCCCAATGCAACAAAGCATCATATCCTGTGAAGCATCGCGGGATGATATGACGTCACTGGTATTCGACTCAACATCAAGCGCAACAGGCCATGTTCCATCTTTACCTTTCGTACCTGCCTACTGCAAGCATTCGCGTGTTATATGACGTCAATGGTTAAGAGCTCTTACGGGCTCTTTTCAACCCCCTATATGATATAATGCTTCAGCTGACGATATGATGTCACTGGTGTTCGACTTAACATCAGGCACAACATGTCATGTTCCATCTTTGCCTTTCGCACCTGTTAAAGTATTGGCGAGCCTAATGATGGCTCTGTCGAATCACCTGAGTGCGTCGTCATGAGTTTTTACAGGCTATTGTTGGCCGAGTGAAAGCCATAATGCATCATCTAACGATATGTCGTCACTGGTAATCCACTAAGTGTGTGACGCCATTGGTCATGAGTTTTCCCGGGCCTTTTTCGGCCGACTTAAGGCCATTGGGCATCAGGTAACGATATGGCGTCATTGGTATTCAATTAAGCATCAGGTACAATATGTCAAGTTTCATCTTTACCTTCCGCACCTATCTACTGCAAGTATTCGCGCGCGACATAAAGGCTCTGCCCAATCACCTGAGCGTGTGGTGTGGCTGGTTATGAGTTTACGCGGGTTTACTCGGGCTGGCTGAAGGACATCAAGCATCATCTGGCGATGTGACGTCACTGGTATTCAACTTAACACCAGGCGCGACAGGCCATGTTCGTCTTTATCTTTCTTACCTGTCTATTGTAAGCATTGACATGCTTAAGGAAAGCTCTGTGAAATCTCCTGAGTGTGATGTCACTGGTCATGAGTTCTTTATGGGCTGGTTTTTTGTACCTATAGGGTACAAGACATCAGTTGACGATATGACGTCACTGGTGTTTGACTTAATCTCAGGCGCAACAGGCCATGTTCCATCTTTGCCTTTCGCACCTCTATACTGCAAGTATTCGCGCGCTACATAAAGGCTCTGCCGAATCACCTGAGCATGTGGTGTAACTGGTCATGAGTTTACGCGGGCTTACTCGGGCTGACTGAAGGACATCAAGCATCACCTGACCATATGACGTCACTGATATTCGGGCTGGGGTCCAGACTTATGACCGCTAGGCGGCGCCCTTGATTATTATTTAGCCATCAGGGCATTCCGGACCGTAGCTGCTCAGGGGCGCATCCTGTGATGTCGGGCGGAATAGCTTTGCATATACGTCGGTTTGTGGGCTGGGATCACCTTTGTTTTGTGTTTACGTTTGTTCAAAATTTTAGTCGTTGAAACAGCCCGTTGCGTGTGAAGCTGCTACTTACTGGTGCGCGCAATAAAACTAGTGTGCTTAACTATGGTGCATCTCCCACCTCTGCTGCGGAATTTCGTAGCCATAGGTGGCCAAGTGACCTCCTACCAACTGATGATCAGTGACGTCACGTATTCAGGTGATTCGGCGGAGCCTTCATATAGCACGCGAATATTTGCAGCAGCCAGGTACGAAAGGCAAATATGGAACATGACCTGTTGCGCCTGATGTTTAGTCGAGCACCAGTAACGTCATGCCGTCAGCCGATGCATTACAACCTATAATGGGTTCAAAAGAGCCCATAAAAACTCGTGACCAGTGACGTCACACACTCAGGAGATTCGACGGAGCCTTCATTCAGCACGCCAATACCTTTAATAGACAGGTACGAAAGGTAAAGAAAGTACGTGGCATGTTGGACCTGATTTTAGGTCGAATAACAGTGACGACATATCATCCTGTGATGCTTCACGGGAGGTGTTGCTTTGTGCCCTTGGGCGGCCCAAGTGACTCCGTATAAACTCATGACCAGCGACGTCACCCACTCAGATGATTCGTCTGGAGTTTAGTCGATTACCAGTGACGTCATATCGTCAGCTGATGCTTGATGTCCTTCAGTCAGCCCGAGTAAACCTGCACAAACTCGTGACCAGTTACACCACACGCTCAGGCGAATCGACAGAGCCTTTTTGTAGCGCACGAATACCTGCAGTAGGCAGATGCGAAAGGTAAAGATGAAACATGGCTTGTTGCAATTGATGCTAATTCGAATACAAGTGACGCCATAACGTTATCTGATGCCTAATGGCCTGAACTCGGCCAAAAAAGGCCCGTAAAAGCTCATGACCAGTGACGTCACACACTCAGTGGACTACCAGTGACGTCATTTCGTTAGCTGATGCCTTATGGCTTTCGCTCAGCCAAAAATAGTCGTAAAAATTCATGACCAGTGACGTCGCACACTCAGGTGACTCGGCAGAGCCATCATTTAACGCACCAATACTTAACAGGTACGAAAGGTAAAGATGGAACATGACCTGTTACGCCTCATGTTAAGTCAAACACCATTGGCATCACGTCGTCAACTGATGCATTTTTTTCCTATAGAGGGTTCCAAGGAGCCAGAAAAAACTCATGACCAGTAACGTTACACACCCAGGAGACTCGACAGAGCCTTCATTCAGCACGTCAATGCTTGTAATAGACGGGTACGAAAGGTAAAGATAGAACATGGCCTGTCGCGCCTGATGTTAAGTCGGACATCAGTGACGTCATATCGTCAGCTGATGCATTATACCGTTTGGGGGTACAAAAGGTCCCGTAAAAAGCTCTTGACCAGTGACGTTACTTACTCAGGAGACTCGACAGAGCCTTCATTCAGCACGCCAATACTTCGAAGAGACAGGTACGAAAGGTAAAGGTGGAACATGGCCTGTCGCGCCTGGAGTATAGTCGAATACCAGTGACGTCATATCGTCAGCTGATGCTTGATGTCCTTCGGTCAGCCAGAGTAAACCCGCGTAAACTCATAACTAGTTACACCACACGCTCAGGTAATTCGGCAGAGCCCCTATGTGTCGCGCGAATACTTGCAGTAGCTAGGTGCGAAAGGTACAGACGAAACATGGCTTAGATAGAGCATGGCCTGTTGCGCATGATGTCTAGTCGAGACCTAGTGACATCATATCGTCAGCTGATGCCTTGTGGCCTATAGTAGGTTCAGAAGAGTATACAAATTAATGGTCAGTGACGTACACACTCAGGTAATTTGGCAGAGCTTTCCACGGCAATGCTTGCAATGGACAGGTACCAAAGATAAAGGTGGAACATGGCCTGTCGCGCCCGAAGTTCATTCGAATACCAGTGACGTCACATCGTCAGTCAGTGCCGTATGACCTTTCGTCGGCCCAAAAGAGGCCGTAAAATCTCATGACCAGCGACACGCACGGTCGAATGCCAGTGACGTCACATCGCTAGCTGATGCTTTATGGCCTTCAGTTGGCCGCAAAACATCCGCCAATACTTGCAGCAGACATGTACGAAAGGTATAAATGGAGCATGACCTGTTGGCTGATGTTCAGCCAAATACCAGTGATGTCATATCGCCAGCTGATGCCTTACGGCATTTCGTCGGTCCTAGAGGACACGTGGAAACCCACGACCATTGACGTCTTACAATCGGTCGTATAGCAGTGACGTCGTTAGCTGACACCTTGTGGTCTTCAGTTGGCCGAAAAGCACCGGTGGAACTCGTGACCAGTGACGTCACACACTCAGGTGGTTCGGCAGCTTTCATCCAGCACACCAATGCTTGCAGTAGACAGATACAAAGGTAAAAATAAAGCACGGCCTGTTGCGCTCAGTATTTATTCGAATACCAGTGACGTCACGCTATCCGGTGATACTTCGCAGGCCATGACACACCGTGGTCGTGGGGCCTAAGTGCACCCGTATGAAGTGATGATTAGGGACGTCACACATTGAGGTGATTCGGTCAAACCTTTATGCGGCACGCAAATGCTTGCAGCAGGCAGGTACGAAAAGTAAAGATGGAACGAGGCCGGTCGCGCCTGATGTTTAATCGAATACCAGTGACGACACATGGCCAGCTGATGCATTACGGCATTCAGTGGACCCAAAAGAGCCTTGCAAACTCACGACCCGTGACGTCACATACCCAGCCGAATACCAGTGACATCATATCACAATCAAAAGCCTTATGGCCTTCAGTCGGCCCGAAAGAACCCCCATCCCGATCGATGCAAAACCATTTTCAGTGACGTCACAATGTCAGCCGATGCCTCACAGCTTTTCCCCCGCACGACAGTACTCGAAACCCTGCAGCTAGCGTAGCTCTTCCCTCCGTCGGCCATACAGGTACCAAAGTAAAAAATTACCGGTCGCCCCCGCAAGATGGTCGGATGACGTTCTGAGATTTAAACGAACACAAAACAGATTTAAAAGGTCAAAAACAATCTAATATATACTAACTACGTTGCAAAATTAAGATAATACACCGCCGCAATGAACACTTAGAAACACCGCATCCAAGCGAGGTGAGCGCGGACTACGGTGATTACGTGTCAGTGTTGTTGGAGATGTTTGTTAGTATTCGTCTCAGTGCGCCCTTATTGTGTAAGGAATTACGCCATGGAAACGTTGAGCTAAATTAGTTTAGCTATGAACAGCTCAACGTCTACAGGGCAGGACATGGATGATTAAGTCAGGCGCTCCTTTGCATATTTCTTAGGTTGTTTGCAACCACGCAGGCGTGTGTAAAAGTTGTCTTACGTCATGACACTTACATGGGTCATTGTTGCCCTAAATATCAGTGTAATATAAGGAATCATATCGTTCTTGCCAGAGGTCAACCCGTCTACCGAAAATTGCTCTCGAGATGTGCACGTACATTTTTCCTCCTCCTGATCCGTTTGATTTCCGTTTTTAATCTTTTCTGCAATACTATGCAATACCATGTCCTTGGCACGCACCCCACGCACTGGCGTCACCACGGTCAGCGGGTGACGCTGGAATTACCCGAACCCCCGCTTATGACCCCACTACGCCCACAACCCGGGCATTATCAGCGACTCTACACAAAGATGCGACATTGATACCTTCTTCCGTTTTAATCCAAAGCGTTATGAGCAGAAGCATAACACTTATGAATGCTTACTTGTTGGCATTGTTGTTGAAAATGTGCTTTAGGAATCATAGCTGTCGGCACATTACAGAAATAATGTTGAAGCGTTTGTCCGTTTTGGCGGACCAGCCTCATCAACATACGGTTTTGAATGAGCAGCTGGTGAACTTTTCCTCACAATCTACACAGCTCCTTAACATGCTCAACACGTGCCTGCGGTATGCCCAACGGCTGCAGGGTTCCGACGGACGTCCCTGAAGAATCCACTGACGTCCGTTGTTTGCAGTTTGTAGGAGTACACCGTTCACAACCTCCAGAGCAGACGTGGCAACGCCAAATGCCCATTACTCGGTATTTGTTTGCTAGTGGTTCTTCCTTCTGGCAGCCCACAGTATGGCTGCTCCGCGCTCGGGGTTGCCCAAGGTATCAAGCGGCGAATACCCGCCAACGCCAGCGTCGAGACAGCGACATTTCGATACGCATACATGCCGGGAGCCGTGAGTATAGGTGTAGTACCTGACACGACCGCGGACAGCAGCTCCGAGACCAGCAAACACGTGAACAACATTGTAAACTCGAGCGCCTCTACAAAAAGGAACCAAAACAGCAAGTATATTTCCCGTTCCAGAGCAAGCGGTTGCCGGCGGTTTGTCGTGGCGTGCCCAGCAGACGGCAAACATCCGAACCCTTCAGCGGTCACCGCCGCAGCAACTCCAGCTCCAGCTCCGCCGCCTGGCCCGAAAACACGCCACCACCGCTGACGCCTGTGTATTGGGGCGCGTCACGTCCCGCGCGCGCGCGCGCCCTAGGCGTTGGAGAGCTGGCCCATCATCTCCATCTGCGCCATCACCACCGACTGCATGCTCTCGCAGGTGGCCGACACGTTGGCCTTCCAGGCGGTGAGGACGTCGCGCAGCTGCTGCCACTGGGGCCGGGCGAACGTGCGGTGCATGGTGGACGAGATGTGCACCTTGCGCGCCGCCTGGTCCATGCGGCCGCGCACCAGCCGCGTCCGCAGCACTGGCGACAGCGGGAGCCGCCGGTCAGCCGGGGGGGGGGGGGGGGGGGGGGGCAGCCGACGTCCGCGGCGCGACAGCGTCGAGGGCGGAGAAAACGGCGCCAGCGCGCCAAGCAACAGCGCCACAGGAAACAACGGCAACAATGTCCGTGAAAACAACGGGAAGAACGCCTGCGGGCTACGACAGGAAAAACACGAGCGCACAGTGGACATCACAGAGAGCGCTCGCTGGGCATGGTGCCAGCACACAATATGCCAGAGTGGAAGCCTCGCGTTGCTGGGCAACATGGGCACGACAGCTACAGCGAATAGCACATCAATATAACGATGGCACTGGAAAAATAACAGGAAGATACGAGTACCCACTTGTAGAAGTAGAGGCGCTTTCATACGACAAATATTTTCGTCCATAGCGTCACCGCGTAAGACACTCCATACCGGCGGCTACATTCCAGACAGCCCGGGTGAAAAGCCGTAGGCTAAAATCTTGGCATCCCTCTTGTTAGCTTCAGTAAAAAGGTCAATTATATTCATTTTATGGTAGGCTCAATGCCCAGGCGCTGCCAGCCAGGTGTTATGCCCCACCTTCGATGACGAACTCCTCCACGCCTTTCTCGGGCACCTGCAGCTCCTTCTCGATCATGTCGAACGGCATGTCCGGGTGTGCCTGAGCCAGCTGCATGAACGTCAGCTGCCGCATCTTGGTCTCGTTGTTGGCGTGGTTGAGGCCTAAGGGCACACCCATGGCATAAAACTTGCTCAAGGGGCCAGGAGCAATCAACTTTACCTTCACAAATATGCATTTATAACTTTTGATTTGCAGTAAAAAAAGAAGAAAACTCAACTAAAACTCAACTCTGAAATTCACGAAACCAGCAAAGTGGGTGCTCCCGATTTGTGTAAAAAGCAGTGGTATTCACATTTAGATTCCAAGAGACTAGACGGGAAATCGCAGTAGGTGAATAATGCACCGGGTCAGGACCTTCCGCAGCCTGCACGTCAACACTTCACTGTTTGTCCACCACCAATACCGAGGCACGCGCAAAGCACTAGGTAGCGCTCACTACGCAACACTACGCAACACAAATTTCCGCTGCCGCGTAGCCCTGCGCGCCTCGCTCACCCCAACTCTCCACCAGGTCCTTGTGCTGGGCGTAGAACTGCTGGTACTGGGCCAGCCCCTCGCTGATGAAGATGGTGAGCAGCTGGTAAACGGGACTGCCCTCCAGCGACTGCACCGGCTTCAGGCTCAGCAGGTGGTCGAGCAGGTACGTGTCGGGGTCGGCGAGCGCGGCCAGCACGCAGCGCTGCGCCTCCTCGCGCGCCTCGGACGCCGTCTCCTCCGAGTAGGTGCGCAGCAGGTCGATCATCACCACGGAGGCCGCCTCACTGCGGCAGCCGGCCGGCGGTCAGGGGCGGGGCGGGCGAGCGGCGGTCAGCGGCCGTCTAGCCCACACGACGCAGCGCTGGCAGTGACCGACTCGGCCAGGTGAACAGCACGGGACATTGCAGAGCAGAGAACAACGCAGAATGCAGGGTAGATGCGTGGTCAGGCTCGGAGCCCTCCCCCCTGGGTACTCAGTTGCGGGAAAATTTTTGGCACGCGACTCAGCACATCTTCCTAGGTGCCGAGTTATACAAAAATCTAGTGAACTGTCGGGGAAAACCTCTTTTAGGACCTGATTTTCGGTATACCTCGGCCTAGGCGTTCGGTTAAGAGGGCGACTCCTCTACCGCTGACCGATGCCGGGCCCACCTGTGCTTGTTGTTCAACAGCTCCCGGTAGATGAGACGCAGCAGCTTCTGCTTCTGCGCCACCGTCAGGTCAGAGCCCAGGGCGGCCTCCATTTCCGGGATGGAGGAGAACACACTGTCGATCTGAGGGACGCGGGGGAACGGTTACAACACCCTCACCACACGATGGTTCAATCTTCACATTGGTTCCAGGAGATGCACCTCGCCGAGCTCATGGCACAGAAAGCAGAGGTTTAGGCAGCAAATATACACACGTCATGCAGAATAATACTTGCAAAAAGGTTGATAGATGCCTGAAAATGTTCCAGTAAAGTCAAATGAAGCCCAGAGCAAGATCAGCCCCGACGCATTCGCACACCCCGCACCACACCGTGAGTTGTTCGCCAAAAAAATTAAGAGGGAATCTAACTGAGTTTCGTCCACAGCAATACTGACCTGGTCCACTTTGCCAGCCAGGGAGACAAGGCTGTAGTAAACATCATACTTCACTGGTGACGATGGTTTGAGGCTGTTGAACAGGAGATTAGTGACCTTGAGGCAAACTTCTTGGCAGGTAGTTGCCGCTGATAGTTTTGCGCAGAATTGGACTATGAGTTTGTTGTTGTCTTTGACGGTTTCCTGCAATCAAAAAGAAGCATAAACAACAGCGTTCTGCCTATGCATGCATGCGTTCCAAAACAACAAAAAAGCAAAAATTTGTTTAGTTCACTTCGATAAGCAGATGGCTTTCCGTCAGTCTGTATCAACCAAACGGGAGGAATAAAGGGAAGTAATATCTCATCATGTGAGTCACTCCATACGCGCGCATCAATAAACGTAAATAGGCACATCAACTACACACGTCTCTTTCATGATGCCACTTTGCCTGGTACGGGGCGAAAACGTGGCAATGTCATAATTCATCTTTTAGTTCAAGGCCAGTAAGAGACATTTTCGAGACAAAAGTTGATGACAAACAGGAAACATACTACTGAAATGATTTCCCTAGCGCCCCAATGTGCAGCGTGCCCACCATCTTGCTCTGCTGCCACTTTCCCACCACCCAGTTTACACATCACTTGACAATTGTACTATATAATGCAATGAAGTACCCACAATAACGTCAGGACCAAAAAGGACGTTCCACGACGGGTGCCCAGATTAACGGCACAACGACAGACATATAGTTATGCAGATGGGACACTGGTGATGACTGAAGTTTGCGGGCGCGTCGACGTAGGATCATTTTGCACCCATGACAAGAATTAAGCGCAGCCTTTAATAACCAAAAAAGTTCAAAATTGTTTTAAAAAATTAATGTCTGCACGAAAAAATGACCCGAGTCGAACATGGAAAAATCGTTCCCCAGGCTTTCCGAACAGGTTAGCGCCCGAGCTTGTCGTCCGAAGAGATGCGATCGGACACTAAGGCACTTACCAGAATGATCATGGAGACGATGCTGTTCAAAACAGCCTCCACGTCGGCAGGGGCCGAGGAAGCGAAGCACACATCGCAAGCCTCAATGATGCGACTAAGGTCCTCGTGAAGGTCCTCGGACGATGGCGCGGGAATGTCAGCTCCCTTCGACTGAAGATACGACTGCAGCTCGAGCGCCTGAAATCATGGCAAGCGTCCAGGATTAATCGAGCATCTGACGAACGTCTCACGGGTCAGCACGCACGTTGGAACGCGATCTCCAACAGAGCAGAGCCAACAAAGCCAGAGGTTCTTCGTAACCGCGGCGAGGAGTAGGCATCACGACGATAAAAGACCTGGAATGCTATACGCATGCTATGCGTCCCCCCCAAAAAAAACAGAAACAAAAAATGGTCAAGAGGACCGTTCAGGCAATTAAAATAGAAAAGATTAGTGCTGAGTAATGGCACTTCTAAAATTCAATAATAATTTCGCGTAAGAAGGCCTTAAGACGGCGGCGGCGTTTTGTCAAACAATGCTTTCGAAGCATTCAGGCTCACAGGAACGCAAACTGACACATCCTATGGCTTCATGAAAACACGCGGGCATTTCATGAGACGTCCCTGAAACCAGCAATTCCCAGATATCAGCTGGGCCAGAAAGGCGTCAGGGAGGTCGTTGACTGTCGGCTCTCACGGACTGTACAAGCGTACTGTACTGTACTGTACTGAGCACAAGTGTGCTTGACTGGAAATACCAATGTAGGCTGATAGACAAATGGTCTCGGATAAGAACTGCAAGTTGAGAGGAGGGTGGTACGAGTGCATAGAGGTATGCCCACTGCGGATGTTAATAAAGTTTCATAACATAGCAAGTTATTGAGCCCTCAGTTAGCTGGATGGCGTTTATTCTGAAAGCCAATAACCAACCACATGTAAGAAATAAATGCAAATTCAAAGACAAGAGCTTCTTAAACGGACCCTATGCACCTAGATCACCAATCCTGTGCACTTGACTGGGGTGACGTTGAAAAACCTAGTGCCTCTCATTAACCAAAACATTGATGTCTTCTTTGCTGGTTATGAACCCCAGCACACATATCTAGCGGGTTGAAGTCTTGATCATTACCGTTTTGCTCACTACAGGTGATAACCGCCACATCGTTGATCAGCCAGCTTGGAGCAGCATGAATGACTTCTAACCATATCCTTGACCACGTGATATTCATGGCACATACACTTGCAAGACTCTAGTCATGCATGAAGCAACTCCTCAAAAGGAGATGAATTGGTCACTATGGTCACAGGAGGGCGAGCACGTGTCAAGACGAATACCTGAGACGTCTCATGTGGTCAGAGCTTGAACATTCAGGAAAACATCGTTACCATAGGAAATGGAACATCACAAGAAGTGCATACGATTACAGTGTTAAAGCAAAAGCTTCGACGGCTGAATCTTTCTCCACGCGTTCAAATATTGCCAGCGCCTCGTCCAAGGCGCTATCAACCTACTATGAAGCGTTTTCCAATCAAGCACCGACATGGTCACATGTTGTTTGTTGAGACAAAAATATAAATTTCAAGCGCCCTTTTCCAAGCACCCCGTGCATACGGTTGCCAGTGTGAACGTAGTACGAAAATCGGAACAAGAAATAGGGACACGGGAAGACTCAAGCACAACGTACTTCGTTTCAGAGCACATGCAGACAAAATGAAGTGTTTTGCCTGTCCACACCGGAACTCTGACGGCGAGCGAGCGTAAAACCAAACAATGCCATCATTCCGCGCAATACTCGACTCTTCGTGGCCTTACTCAACTCGGCTGAGCGGTTTATCTTCCCAAATGAAAGCTGCTCGCAACAATCATAATGACAATTTTCTAATGCCAAATTAAAATCCCAAACCAACCAAAAGAAATCGTGCGTCACGCCAATCCAGAGCAAACGTGACCAATAGTTATTAACCGTATTAAACAGACCAAGCTCTCCTGACGTGTATCCTCGTTGGATATGTCCAGCAAGTAACACCGCATCCACGCCTTTATACACATTGTACCGCATATCTATAAAGACACTGATCTTGTGTGAACTAAACAATGCTGATACTGTGAGCAGCAACATACCCCACTTCGTGACCAGGAACAAAGCTAAAAATGTCAGGCACGTCTTTTGAGGCAACAACCATGAGGGAAGCGCAGACAAATGAAACGTTGATATCGACATGTCTGCCGACAACCGAACAATCCACACCCTGTCTGGAGTCGTCTGATTCGGAAGAGTCCGTAATGGCCATGTCAGAGTCACAGTTTTTCCCAACATCAAGCGATGCCATCTGGAGAAGTGCCACCATCATAAGGGCACCGCAGCCTCCGGAGCCGTTTGATTTATTGGAGCCCGAGACGGAGGCCAAATATTTGCAAGAAACGTTGCAAGGCGTGCTTTTGGTGGAGAGAAGTACAGATGAGGAATCTTCAGATGAGGATGACGCCCCCGTCCAACGAGGGCCGGATGTGACGGACAAGCCAATAACGAAACAGCCCCCACATTCATTGCCAAAAGAATTCGATTCATCCATTGGCAACAGCATGGAGTCCAAACCAGCACCACAGCCGGTTTCCACAAGTCACGACGCACCGCAGAAGTCTGCTGGCTGCATTCCCATGTGCAACGACGAAATAATGCGCCTCATCAACCTCCCTGCCCATCTCCCCCCGTTGCCTTCTGGCACTGAGACAAGCGCCAAAGAGCTTGAAGACAAACTGGAATGTGGCCTCCGCTTTTTGGATAACTTGGTGCACACTAACGCCCATCATGGCAACGACTTGAAGCAAATCTATGACGCATACTATAATTTTGCGCAAGCGCTCTTTGAGGACATCAAAGTCTCACCCAAACTCAACGGCGATTCAGACGCTGGTTCAGACCTAAGTTTACACATTGGCTCAGAGGTTGGATCGGACCGTTCGGACATGACGCCTGGCACTCTTGAACAGCAAAAAAGTGAAATATGCAACCAGGAAGCACTGCTGGAGAAGGAGATACTTCGCTATAAAGCAACAAAACGTGAGCTCCAAAGAGTCGCTGACGAAATTGAAGAGGCTTCCAAAGTGTATCGAAAACCAGAGGTTCTCGCCGATGTCATCATTCCAACAGATGTCAAATTCAGTTCATCCTCTGAGTACGTTGCTGAAATCCAAGAGCTCCAGACGGACATTCTCAAGAAGCAAGAAGAACTTCGGAGCCTATATCGAGAGATCCAAGAACGCTATCTTCCCAAGGGTCTGGTAGACAGCATATGCGAATCTCATAGGCTGGCCGATCTGGCCTTAAAGGATATCGAAGACGAGACACAATATCTTAAGGAGTGCGTTGAACGGCTGGATCTGAAGTACTTGTATAATTTGCAAATATCGTAACAACGGTCAGCGCTCACCTAATACAAGAGACCACCTAAGAGACAGGAACTATTTTCGTGTTCTCCACACACAGTCGCTTGAAATGTTCAGAAACTAGAAATGACGAGGTACATTGAAACAAAAATACTGAAAAATTGAAGAACAAAATGTTATCCAGACGTTCGAAATGAGCCTTGCATTAATCCTGGTTCTTTTTTAGCAGGGAGCGGGAACTGCTCGCTAGGAATGCCCCCAAGAGCAATCCTGGGGAATACAGCAGCGCTTAAAAATCCAAGCAATCTATGCTTCATCGATATCAGACCATCCCTGAGTCCATACATCTTAAAAAATGCCGTACAATACACCTTTAGCTTCGGTCTCAGCTTGAAATAAAGTAAATGTCGCGAATGTCACCAACGGGGTGATGCTTGCAACACAATGTCTCTTGTTTGAATCTGAGACAGAAGTCAACAGAGTACTATATAACATTAATCCACGCTCACGTCTACCAGACGCGACCAATCGCAGTTGGCGCGAGACCATACTTCGCCATGCGAGGTCTGAGGAAGAAGATGTGACCTAAACCCGTCACTCTTACTCCCACAAAGAACACGTGCGGGACGGGACCACATCCTTCCATGTCGAGCGAGCTATGGGAGGAGTCGGGGGCGGCACCGCTTGCGGTTCACGTGAGACACGTCCAGCGTGCGTAAGCTATCGAGCTAGAGTCGCCGCCGTCGCCGGGGGCGCCGAACTAAATTGAACTAAGTACTGACACAGACTGACACACCGTATTGTGCGTGTGCTGGTCGCATGTGGCAGTGCGACAGAGCGTTGTACCGCCATAGCTTGACGAGCTGAGTAGCGGCCCGTCGGGGGGGGGGGGAGGGGGGGGGGGGGGCACCGGTGACGCTGAAGACGCGGCTTGGGACGGAGAGGCAGCTACGCAAAATACGTTGATGGCAGGGGTGGTGTGGTGGATTACATACAGTGAGGGAAGCTACCACCTCCCCCAAAATCTGCCAATTATGTGTCAGCCCTAGAGTACAATGTAAAACAAATACAAAGTGTGATTGCTCTCAGCTTCTCTGAGTTTCACCATCCAATGTTAGGGGGTGGGAGTTATGCCACATACATGCTTATAGTATCACAGCATTTCCTGCATGAATAACTTGCATCTATTCTTACACATAAAAGAAATATACAATTTGTGATCATTTTGAAATATATTGTACACCTTTGCATTTTTTTCTGCATATTTTTTCTTTCTCCTCAGACTCAGCAGGAGATAAGTTGTGACACTTTGTACAGCTGACCTCATTGTTACACTACAGCTGATAGTTTTTCCCATAGTTAAAAGACACCACAATCCTTTCATAGCACCTGATGAAAAGGGGCTTTTCCAGACTATTACAGAATAAAGGACGACTACCTGGCACAAACAAAAATGTTAATGCTGCTCATTCCTTCTCTACCACCATAGGGTTTTCATCTTGACTGCACTACCTCTGTGGTCTGGAGAAAACATGCTGGACCAATAACCCAGTGGTACTGGCATGAGTCCCAGACTGACATGGGAAAGTTAGCTGGCAACTGACCAGTGAGGAACAAACCAGGCCACATGCAGCCATATCACAACATTGTGCAGCGCATAAAACCCTCTGCAGCCCTGTATAGTAAAAGTTTGGATGCAACATCACCCACTGAACTGGACTGTCCAAAAGATTCAACATTCTGCGAATTGGGTGGCAGGGACGCCAACATTTTGTCCTCCCATTACCTCTGCACCTAGGCACTTCCCATTTGCAAATCAACTGAGGAGATCAGATGTCATAATTATGGGTAAGGGAAACAAATTAGCACACAACAAATTGTGCTGAGGAGGCTGCTGTTGAGTCAGAGTTTTGCTAGCATTAATCTTGTATCAGCCCTCTACACACCCTACTGGATGAATTTTGTTTGCTGGCAGAACAAAGGTGATGGGATCAGGTCACACATAACAATCTATGCTTGGTAGTTACTCTGAAGCAAAAGGTTACACATGCAAATCACTTTGTCTGAATTTTCTTAAAGAGGTTCATGTGTATAGATGGCATGAGAAATGTGCCAGTTGGCACTCTCCAATAAGACCATTGTTTTAAGAATGAACATATTGATCCATCTCTAACCATCAGCTCTTACACTAGCATTTGATGGCTCATGTACCCTGTACAGAGACTAACTACTTGGCTTCATGGCATCACCTTGCATTGTCAGATGAGTAGGTACCTCCCTAAAACCCAATTGATAATAGCTTTATTAATAACACATCATCTTGCTTGAATGCAAATATGCACCCAATGCTGAGCATCTCTAGCATAAGAGCTACAAAACATAAATAACTTCATTCCTACACTATGTAAAACTCAGGGTAAGACTTTTCATACATCTTTTTTTTTTCTTACATACATACATTTCATTTTTCTTTTCTTTTCATACATATGACTATGACTTTCATATGACTTTTCATACATACATTTCATTTCATACATCACCCTTAATTTTGGTGCAAAAGGAGCCAACATTAGAATAAATCATCACATTTTTGGTTTAATTTTAAGCAAAATGCTCCACCATGCTTCCCATTAAATTCATTGGGAATTGCACACACTTTGGCCTGCCCTGACACTGAGTTTGGGTTTGTTTAGCATATACAAGAGCGCCATTCAGTGTCTGGACATCACACCAGAATGCCAATGTTATCCTGAGACATTTGTCATGGCAGGAACAATCAAGGACACCATACATCTGAGTTTCCAGAATTTGATGCTCAGCCATGTCTAATTTCAGCATATTGAATGCCAATGTTTAACATTAAGGTTCTACAACAGTAATATCAGGCAAAAACATAATTCCTTTAAAAAGCAAAAAACAAATTGCAGCTCCTTGGTATAGCCAGTGTTTGGTGCAGTCAAGGGTGAGGCTCCACATGCTGAAGTTGTGAAGGTGCATGGTGCAGTGGATGTTTTTTCCAGACCGGATGTCATATACACACTCATCACAACAGATGGATCTTTTGCACACTGGCTAGGTGGTTCGAAACTTGATATTTCCGCTTCCAAACAGAAAAAAACGAAATCTTAGCCACCGTGCCATGAGGTAACAAACTCTAACCTGGTCAGCCAGCTCGATCTTGATAAACGCCAGTAGCTGGTTAGATTCCGAGGCACCAGCAGCCATTTTTAGCAGTCTTTTGGCAGGTTACCTGCTCGTTAACACCACCAAATTGTCCAGAATACCACTATCACAGAGGGGTTGTATCCAGCTACAAATCCCCGGTACACTCCAACATATGGTACTCCTTGTGCAAACAATCCCATACACCCTCTGCACCATACAGGACACCCAAGGCACGGGATGCTCAGGCAATGTACGGCGTGAAAAGGAACACGCCGACAGGTACCAGTTGCGGCGCTTGTGTGGCAATTGTAGCCGTAAGGACAAAAGGTTAGCCTGCGCTAATTTATGGACTTCCGAACCTGCAGAAAATAGCCGACCGGCATTGGGTGTTTTGGCTAAACCGGCATAACTGATCCACTAATCCATTTTATTTCAAGACAAACTCAACGCTATAGCTGACGTAATTACTTCAATGTGTTATGCTTTGGACGGTTTGCTGTGAGTGTCAATGCTGTTTAACAGCCGCAGTCATACTTTGTCTGGCACCTAAAAATGTAGGCCAAAAGGAATTATGTACATGGAGACAGAGCGAGACCCAGACCACAAGGTGCTTATATAAGATGTAAGCAAGGTTGTGGTTTACTTTTCAGTTGAGAGGGCTTCAGCCGCTCAGCTTCACCCTCCCCCCCAACTTTGGGAGGAAAGTGGGGAAAATCCGGGGGAAACTTGTTGTTTGGCATACTTGGTGTTAGGCTGGGTCCTTTTTCACTGTTTCGTCCCTTATTTTGCGAAACTGTGCCCCTGAATGTAATCACGCGGTAACGATCAACGTCTAACACAGCTGTAGAAACGGGTGAAACATAGCTTATGGGGGGTGAAACGGTGAAATATGATTATTATAGACGTGAAATTTATTATAAAAAATTAGATTATATTAGACGTGAAAAACCCTCTGAAATCCGAAAGTTCCAGTCTTCCGTTATGTCTGAGAACATGCAAGGATTTCAGTCATGTTTGTCTTTACCCAATCATGTCTTCGCTTTTTGACTACCAAACCGCTCACTTCTATTCCATCAAAAGCCATCATCATCATGTTTTATAGTGTTTGTGTCTACCAGACGTGTGCTGCTTCCTCGATTTTTGAAACCATCAGAACTGTAAGAACGTTTAGATGCTTGTAAATTGCGGAGGTACAATGGCCGCAGAACTATTCGTAGTGACTGGGGCTACGTTTGGTCAGCTCGGTAGGATCAGACCGATAAGATCTCACAGATATGGTCAGACTACATGGGCTGCTTTGACTGCATTGCCAAACATGAAACATCATGTACTTTTTTGGTAGTTGGTTGAATTGTGACAAAGCTGTCATGCTGCCGGACGACCCCAGCCTCGTCGATTAAGAAGCCGTGAAGGACATAAAGAGCTTGGCCAGACATTCAAAAGGCATTTAAAGGGACGCCATCGGACATATGTACGGATTTCGTGCCGTGGCGGTGCAATAAGTTCGCATGTGCGCACCTCAGTTTTCAACACGTTGTTAACACATGCGCTTCCCCCCAGCGGTCAGCAACTTCTGATTCTACATCTCCACTGATTTGGAACATAACCAGATACAGATAGAAGCATCACAGTATTGGAATGTAAAGACGAACGTAACAGGGCTATTTGGCGTTGTGTAATGCAGGGCTTTTCAGTTACATCGTTGCCGTCGTTTCCTTCAACTCGATTTTTGCCGTTCACATAACTCGGAGGAAAAGCTCATTTTTTCTTTCGCAATGTTGTCATACTCATCCGACAGGTCTCTCACCGACACCAAACGGCAATCACGTGATTTCCAAGGCCCAGCATGCATAAAAGCAACAAGCGCCGTGACTGCCTTAATAATTTAAATGAAGTTCCTGCATGGCCTTCGAAGTTACGTATTCACACATCACGTTGAGTGGTGCCTTATGTTGTGAACACCTTTCCAAAGATGGTGGCTGTGCCCACTAATAATGAGCCTCACGAAATAAAAGCTCCTTGGGAGTAATACGTCTACCGGCAACAATCATATTTTTTGGATTACCTATACATGCCATTGCTAATGGCTGCTGTTGGCTAACTGGCCCACTGTATTCATTTGGAGGCAATTGCCGTCGAGGCAATTCCCCTCCATAAGCCGACTAACTGGGGCGACTGCAGGTGGTTGTGAAAACATTGGCTCAACGACATTGCATGGACTTTTACGAAACAGGTGCTTTCGTCTTAACATGGGCAGCAAGCGTCACTTTACTGGGATTCTGCAAGCAGCGTTCATACATTCACACTGCCTCACGCATGCTTGTCGCCGAACGTATTAAAAGAAGACCTATAATGTGGTCGCTACACACAGTCTGCGCAGGTTATGCGCAACGATTAGACCCCCTCAGTCATGAGCGGGACCGTGCAGCCATATACCACGCATACCTCGGAACTTGTCCCCAGTAAATAGTAGCCACCTGGTGTAAGGCTCACGGCGGCACCACCACATAGCCCCACCTTCTCTCGTCGCTGAATAATGAAGGAACCCATCGTCGGCACGCCTGAATCCCACATCGGCTGGTAATACTTTGTCGCCGAAATCACACATCGGTCAGAATCCTTCATCGGCTCAAACGTGCGGACCTCGCCTTCTGGAGTAGTTGGAATAATTCTACTAACGGTACCCTCTGTGACCGAATTCACTGTCATTGTTAAGGGTTAGTTGCTCTGAGTCATCCTAGGAAACTCCCTTTGTGGCCGCAAGCCAATGCGCCAACGGAAAGGATTAACCAACTTTTCCGACAGCCCAACGTTCTTTCCCGACTCATCGGGAAAGCGCAAGAAGGCCGCTGAAAAGTGAGTCTTACGTTATGCGATTTGCGATTCCGTGAACGGAATCCTGCACGTGCCACTACTACTCTCACTAGCGGCCAGCGACGTGCAAAAATGCGTTCCTCCTCATCTGTGAGTCGCGGATATTTCCGTTGGGAGTGGGACCTTTCAACCCAAGGCTAAACAACTGTCTACGTCCCGCATAGAACTTTCTCCATTTCTCCCCGCGAGGAGTCTTAACGCCAAGCATCTATGACGCATTTAGCCCGTGGTGACAAAAAGAAATCCTTTCATTACACTCGTGGGGAATCCTCAGTCGCCCCAAGTTGCATGTCAAGTATGTACTCAGATATGAACGTTGTAAGTCAGAGATGAAGTCAGCGCTTTAAAGCCAATGGGGGAAGAATGGGAGGGGCTACGAGGACGCGATCGGCCGCAGGCGGAACGAAGAGGCGGTCGTTAGAACTGGAACAAAACCGACGGGACCGCAGCGTGACCGAGAGACACCGGCCCACCGGGTGCCCGAACCAGCGTACTCCTGTTGGCTTTCGACGGACAGCGGCGACCGACCCACCCCAGTCGACAAGACGTCAAAATGCGAGCCGAAGAAAGAAAATTTGAACAGTAAAAGTCTGTTCTACTCTGTCCGTATCCCGTTACCATGCCTCTCCCCCCCCCCCCCGGTTCACACCCCCTTCTTCTGTGGCGCAATCTGGAGGATCATGGGCCCGGCGCGCGGCGCTAATTAATCACACAAATATAAATCACACATTAGTGGGTCGTCTCGCCGGCGAAATCGACGCGCATAGAGGGCTGGGGACGGGCGGGATATAACAGGAATGCGCGGTGTGGTAGGAAACCGGTGGCGGGTCGCATTAATTAAATTCTTATTTCTCTAGGGCTATCGTATGGAGGGGTTGCATTGAGTACATGTATCTGAGCGCCGTATGCTTAGATGCGTGAATGTGGATAAGATTTTATACACTAGGCTCATGAAAAAGTAACAAGAGAAGCAAGGATCGTAGCATAAACAAAACGTAATCAAGTCAGGTACCCAGATCTAGATAACACATATCTGTTAAATTCGTAGCCTGCGCGAGTCTTCACGCAATATTTGGCTTGAAGATAGACTTTGTTAAGTGGAACGTAGCACTTTATTTGCAGCGCACGCAGATCTTGACGGTTATCTGCTGTAAAACGTATACTTCGATTCGCCAGTAAGTAAATGACTGGCCAAAGGCTCACGAAAAATTAGGGTAAAGAATTACGGACCGATTTTATTTTACATGTAGCTGGTTACTTACGATACGCATAGATCGCGATGCAACTTGGTGAGGGAAAGGTCGCACATCGCGCACTGTCGTTATATCATTGGTCAGCAATTTCGGCAATGGCAAGCATCTTTAAAGACAAATGGAACTGTGAATTTTGCGAATACATGCAGTTACTTGCTTGCCATGATCCCTGTTTTGGCATACACTCAATGGAAAATAATGCGCATTGCAACGCATTCCTTATCACAGGTCAGTTCACTTACGAACAAGCATGAACCTTCGCGAAAAACTGAAATAAGAAAGGACTGACTGCGATTCAACACCTGATTGCTGTTTGCGACGCGCATAGTTCTAAATTTAATTTTGGAACAGCTAGCGTCCATTGAAGTTCATTACATCTCAACGGCGTTACATAACGTATCACTTTGAGGTCAGAAAGCCTGCTCGCAGCCCGTTGACTAATCTGGGCAGGATAGCGACATTGTTCCTGCTAATTGTTTATGAACTCAGCAAGTCTGCAATGAATCATGCTGATCATGAGCGCTGTGGAAGTCCGCAGGTTTTGTCAGCAAGGAAATATGTTTTCTGATTTCCGTTCTTTTACCTGACTGTTTCAGTACGCATATCAAGCGTACAGCTTTGATTGGTTCGGACCGCACTTCCAGGAGGAAGAGTTGGTTTTCATGTCTTTGCTTTGTGAATCTTTATAATTTGCCCGGATTTTCGTTCCAATGTTAGTAATTTAGCTAACGAGCATACGATAGGATGTCAAACGTGGAATCAATGCAACGACATGAATTTTACGGCTCTTCGCTGGGTGGCTGATTCAGTATGGCCTCCCAAGTCAATGGTTCGGCTCTTCTTAACTTTTGGAGATGGTTTCAATGCACCGGTCAGTCAGAGCCAGAGAGCGGTTCCCGGAAGCCTTCATTCGTGAATCATACGGTTCCCTAGGTTCTTGGTTTGGTTATTACGACAGGGCAATCTGAACAAAGGGGGCTATCTTCAAAGGTGTTTTAAGATCAGAAAATGAATGACTGCTAACTTACGCTTGACATTCGGCGACCGTTTTAGATTTAGTGCCCAGGACTGCCGAACGGCGTAGTGAAATTGGACAACATTGGTGAGCCTTCACTTAAATGGGGTTGTTTAGGTAGAAATAAAGGCCACATGCAATAAACGAAGTTTTCTCGAATCTCTGCTTTGGAAAGCGATGCCAGACCAAGCCTTCTCTACGACATATCATGCCATGGATAAAACCGTTTGTTCTGTGCGCCCGGGATGATGATTAATGATGGAGACAAATACTACTAAACAATGAGTGCGTGAGACTATGGAAAGAAGTGACGACTCTCCAAAAAAGATCACGTTTTCCCCTGCCTGAAATAAAGAATGACAGCCCTTGGTTGAAATGCTTTGAGAATAATGTCAAGTGATTAAAATGCGGTTGGAAAAATGCCAAATACAACGCAACTATCAGCAAAGAATTTGATATCGTGACCTAAAAACAAACAACCAATTATTCTGAAGCCTTTCAGCTGCGAGCTCACTTCTGTTAAAAGCTAATGGGACTTATCGAAGCGTCAAGTGCATAATGCCGATGAATGAAAGCCATGACTAGACTCCTGGCCATTGGTAGAGCAAACGCCTAACACTGTACGACAACCTGAGCTCTACTTGTTCAGAAGTAGGTCATCATGTGAGAGGCAGCTGCTGAGAGGTGTCATAAGTCACGCGCTGTGTTGATTCCAATGTAGCCGACATAATGAGCAAGTATAATTTCAAACCAGACTAATAAGAAGGGACAGCTCATTCATGCGGCAAGTCATGTGACTGAAATCTGTTAAGTTCAAGGCAGCAATTTTATCAGACCTGACATGTTTGCCTGTTGATGGTATAAAAGCAACAAACCAAACTCCGGTCAGGTGGGCCGGGACCAAGCATGTAATAGCTCCCAAAAGTTTACTTAATATCATGTGGCATCTGTCTGCAGCTGCTGCGACTGTAGAATACACCCACGTTCAAGGACAAATAGCAGGTCATTTAATATGAAGGACTTGCTGGTGATGGACGCCAACGGAAACAAAACGCTATCCCTTGCCGAAATATGTAGAATGAGTGGCCATTGGAGCACACTGCCCCCCCCCCCCTTGAGTGACTTCACATATGGAGAGCGGTGTCATGTTTTCTCACGCTCCTTCCTATACCCCCCCCCCTATTTGTTGTGGATAGAAAAGGGCTAGCTTTCATAATAATCTGAAGTAAATAACTTTAAATGCTGGGCATTGCAAATAAGAACATTTTAACTAACATTTGCACGTTATTATCGACTTGGGGAGTGAGAATTTTCCCCCCGGGAGATTAGCTCAGGAGAGATGCCAGCATCCTTTGAATTCGTTATATGGTCGATGCAACCTGCACTATAAGGACGAAGCGAGATGAGCATTCGTATAATGACAGAATCACCACCATTTCGGTTTCTGTGACGAAGACCGTAACGCGCCGGATCCGAAATTGAGGGTTGTGCGTTCAAAACCAGGTCGGACAGCACAGGTTGTTCTGTTCTCTATGGATTATTTTATACCAGCTGCTGAAGGCTTATTCACATTATCAGTGGAATACAGCGTTGAATTCCTGAGTTTTTTTTGCGTGGAATTTGCAGGAATGATACCGTTTTAACATGGCGTGACTTGACATAGAATGGCGTGACACACACGTCAGTGGGCGTGTGAGTCATATCAGTGACACAGGAAATTATTAATTGGGTATTACTGAACCGGGCATAATTATCCTATTGCTAACCCATGTTATGACTTCGTTCGAATGAAATGTATTGATCACGAAGTTCGTAAGTCAGGGTTAAATGTGGCGCACGTTGATGAAACAACGCCAAACATGATTGAGCTTTAATGCCAAGGTGTCGTGGCCATTCTGGCTTTCGAAGGGACTGATGTGGCAGAAAATAAACATTCTCCCCATGTTGCCAGGCTATCGGGATAAGCCAAAGACACAAGCTGGACACACCTGTAACAACCTAGCGGGCGCATGAGGCCGGAGACGACTATGTGTGTAGGGCTTCCATACCCGTGATGTTTGCTGACATTGGTAACTTTGCTTATAAAGGAGGCGGGACTTTGGACCGTCAGAGCAAAAGTGGCCACGTCGAAAGGTTGACCTCATTCAAAAGGGGGAGGGACGCCGGTCAGAGGAGCTCTCGTTATACCGGGACGGTGCCCATAAAACGTTATGGAAGGTGCGACTCATAGTCGTCACAGGTTTCTCGCAAAGACGTTTGCGAAAGATGTCGTTACTCGGCGAAGACGGCATAAAATGCCGCCAGTAAGTCGCTTTGTGATTGGCATTGGGGAAGGCAGGCTCTCCCAAGCGGCAGGACGCTACTAGGGCGATATTTAGGATGAAGAGCTTCTCCGAGGCACAGGACAAAAACGTATCAGCCGCGCGCTGTTGTCATGCTTTTTGCCGGCTGAAGCTGGCATAAACAGTCCGGGTGGCTCTCATAAAACAGGGACGGTGCTCACTCGAATTTGTGGAAGGTGCGGCTCGGCGTAGTCGTCACATGTTTTTCGTAAAGACGTTCACGAAAAATGCGCTCGGCGAAGACGGCGTAAGATCCAGGCCAGGAAATATCTGTGTGAAGAGCAGGCCCTCCATGGGGGTGAGGACGCTATCTGGGCGATGCTAAGGATGAGAGCCTCCCGTACTGGCGGAAAAGACGTTTAATTGTACGCTTTTGCTCCTCCCCCAATGAACCCGAGCGCCTCACGTAAAAGAGCCTGACCAGCCGAGATAAGGAGGAATGAGCATAGCAAGCATATGTTCAAGATGCGTTCAAGGAAAGAACTGCTTCACTGTTTATTCTCTACTGTTTATTCTCTCCTGTATTAATACTGTCTCATCTGTATGCATCATGTTCCTCGCAGATGCACTTAACAGCTTACGGATTATGTCTAATTTAACCCTGCTGCAGTAGCTTGTCCGTGACAATATCTGTCCTTGACAATTTTATATGGAACACTATGCTGCGTATTTGTAATGTCACGAGACAAAGTCTGATGCCAAGCGTCGCCTTTCATCACCGTGTTTGCTTCGTTCGATCCTGCAAGAAGCGATTGATTTGGATTCAAATCTTTGTGAATCGAACTTGATCTAAACTCCGGCTCAGACTTAATATTCAAGGGCTCCTCGGATGCCATCTCCGATGGCTCAAGCTCGTGAGCCAGGGAATCACTTAGTCTCCGCGCATGCACTCTGACGGGTGGATTCGGAACTTGAAACAAACCGAGACAACAGGACTCGGGCGCGTACTCGGTCCTCGTATTCATTCCCACGCATGCCGGTCCCTGTCCCCAAAAACGTGCATCATTAGGCGATCATCGATTTCGCCAAATGAGTTTACCAAGCGAAGGCCCGATCCACCGCAAGCCATCCGTCAAGCCCCTAGATTCATGACCGATGTTCCAGACACCGTGATGTGTAGTAATGCCTGGAAACCACATCGTATGGAGAAGAAGGTCCCCAAACATTGTTAAGAAAAAGCACGATGTTTAAAGAACATTTTCAACTGTCACACAAAGCCATACGTTAAGCCACACAGCCGGTGCATGATCAAGCCGACATATGTTGTTTGCCGTAAACCAAAGACAAAAAACGCAGCCACCCATGCCCCCCATTGTGAGCTGAAATCAAATGTATCATTTAAAGACGTTCCAGTTTGTGGAACATCTACTTGTACAATGGAAAACAAAAATAAGTTCAACACTTGCTAAATGCGTGCCAGTGTCAGCTTGTTCATTTCATGGGTATAGTTTCCTATTCAGTTGGCGGGTGGGTTTCAACTCCTCTCCAACTTTAGGAAGGAAGTGGGCCACATCTGGGGAAAACCTGATAAATAGCATGTTTAGGGTTGGTTGCGTCATTTTCACTGTGCAGCCGTCCCCCCAACCCTTTTTGTGAAAATACACCCCTGAATCATTTACATTTGGGATTTAGCGATGGTGTAGATGCTAGACAACGACATCAAATACTTAATTGAAGCAAGGAGCCGATGTACTGTTGACCAGCTCTGAAAGCCTTTCTGGAGCCTGGTTGCCCATTGACAGTAGCATTACCGAGGTCTTGATTCCAGTAACCCCAGTGGTGGGTACTCTCGTGGCGGCAGACCAGCCGTTTGCCAGGCGGAGTAACTTCAACGGGATGTGGCCGGCGCGAGATTACCGCTGATTCGGCGTTATATTACTTGCAATTGTCACGTGGTGACTGGGGGGCCTCGTAAGCACACTTGTCCCAGAGAATCGCAGACAAGGTATTCACGAGAGACCTGATTTCCAGATCGTATGCCGCAGAGGATCCTGAGTTGCCACAGCAAGCATCGTTCTGCCGCAAAACGGCTGTTGGCAGTGACTGCCTTATTCTCCGCACACATCCAGCGTCAAATCCACCTTCCCAGGCCTATGTGTATGTTTATGCGACACCAGTTCGCGCGCCCCAGCGGCGCGCCCAGTGCGTGACGTCACCCACTGCCCTGGTTTGACCCCAGCCAGCCGTGATGATGACGCGACAGCCCAATTGACGCGCTCAGGGCCAATCAGCACCAGAGTACCAGCCCACCCCGGTCGCCAAGCACACGCAAAGTGTCGAATGGCGACCGCGACACTCGATACGCTGCCCGCGTGCTTGCATCACATGCCGGGTCACTGGACCCGAGCGCGATACTCGGCGGCGCCGCCACTCCGCTCCAGTGTAAACCCGGCTCTGTAAACACGGCCGGGCAGCTGTGACCGATAGCGGGGACTGAGGGGCCGGGTGCCTCCCGCCGGTTGCCGCTCAGTTGCTGGTCGCCGCCGCCGCTGCGATGATGCGCGCCGTGCTGAGCGCCTGCGCGCTGACGCTGCTGCTGGGCCGATCGGCCAGCGGCCGGTACGAGCCCACCTGGGCCTCGCTGGACACGAGGCCGCTGCCAGGCTGGTATGACGAGGCCAAGTTCGGCATCTTCATCCACTGGGGCCTGTTCTCGGTGCCCAGCTTCGGCGACGAGTGGTTCTGGGAGTACTGGAGGGGTGAGTTGGGCACTCGGGGAGGGGGAGGACGTGGGGAGTCTCGAGTGCCTCCTGTCGTGGCGCTGGCGAGATCAACAGCTCTGCTCCGGGACAGATTTATCATGTTGGGTTTCAGTGTAAGCTGCCTGATGTTGAACTAACTCTTGCTTTCAACAATATGTGCTCAGCCCCTTGCTTCAATCATTGCATTGAAATGTTGTAGCGCTGTACTTTCTTTCCTTTGGTATGCTGGTCATTCTCCAAATCGATAACTGATGATGCATTGATGATATTTGGGCTTAGATACGCTTCGGCTGCAGCAATCATTTTGCGCCCATAACCGTGCTAAGTGATAGTTGTATGTTTAGCCCATCCGTGGCTTATGCACCAGGTGTGCGGTTTTATCATGCCAGAGGTAAGCTCCACATAGTGCAAGCAACACAGTGTCAATGACCAGCGACCAGGTGAGAACATGACTTTAAAACCCATATTATTGATGAGCGTTGCAACAACCTGGACGTCAACGATAGGATTCTCACCAAATGCGTTGTAGCGCTAGCATGTTAGCAACCCCGATTTCGATTGCATTGCAATCAATGTCGAGGCAGTGAGGGCGACAGGCGATGAACTCGTCCCGAGCAGCAGTCTATATCGGTCACGAGTGGTTATTCCCGCGGATCCCACTCCAGCCCCGTCCGCGGGCTATCGGCAGTGTTTTGGCTCTGTCGATTTCCGTGAGCCGTCAATGTGGGCCGGATTTGCGGCTTGTCGGGTGTCTCGCAAAGCAGACGCCCCACGTAACCTATCCACAGGCGGACCAGGTCGGCCCCTAGTCCGGCATAAGCTTGGCGGGGCGGCCAAATAGCACAACAGCCCGCTTCCTGCGCGCCATTCAGGGTTCCACGACGCGCTCAGCTGTTGAAACCACAGTGACATCGCCTGCCTCTCACCCTGGCGGGAAGACTCGGCACTGCGCGCAATCGAACCTCCATCTTTGGTTTCCCAGGTGCGAAGCTTCGTTGCCGAAACCCCAACAACCGGTTTCCTGGGCTTTCACTTATGCGCATCATTCATGTGTTCCGCAACCACAAGCGTACGCGTAGTCTGCCGTGAAATCGACGGGACGTCATGAACTTGACCGGGAGGCTAAATAGCAAATATTGATTGCAATGAAACCACTTGTTGCATTGCAAATATATGCTGATTACAATAAAGCCTCTAGTGACAGTGCTGATTCCGTTCAAACTAGAGTATCTGAACGCATGTAGGAACAAAATTCCAATGCAATTTTGATCAGCAATGAAATCACTAGTAGCAGTGCAAATATACGTAAATTGCAACGAACCCACCAGTTACAGTATTACGTCTCGCGTCTTTAGAGCGTCTGAACGCGTGTAGGAAATGGATTTTACAAGTATATTCTATCGAACGGATTCCACCCGATGTGCGGCGGGAATATTCCAAAACTGAGCAGCACTCTTTGTGTCCCCTGCAGCTTCAACACTAGCGACTTCGCTGCACTTTCTACGGACGACCTGTCAAATCGAGTCGAACCAGGCCAAACCACACCTCTATCGTTTTCTTTGCTTTCTATGTCTCTTTCTTCCCTTTTTATGTCATTAGATATAACTTTCCTATTTCTGAAATATGCGCCTCAATACGTCATTGTTTCATTGTGTCATTGTACCTTGCACAACATTGCTTGAGAGTCAATGGACGGCCGTTATATCTGGAAATCGTGCCCACAAGCAACCAAATCGTGCCCAGATATGAACAACTCAACAATTGTATTTCTATTTACACGCATCGCCGCATGACCAATGAAATGACAGAATTTGAATGGCGTTATTATGGCGTCATGGATACCAGGATGACCTTGAAATAAACTGCACGAAGTAGTCTGCGCATCGCCGCGGGCGTGCAGCTCAGAAATTAGAGGTGTTTAGGTCTTATGAAGGGCAGGGCTGTAAACTGCGCCGCACAATCTTCAAGATGGCTTTTTCAGTTTCAAACCCCATACAACGGTGGAGCACTCCTTTTAAGAGGGGCAGGGCTTAGAACTGTACCGAAAAGGATGCTCAACGTCCTCAAAATCTACCTGCTCAGCTTGTTGCTACTATGGTCATATATATCTGCATCTGCATATATATATCTACATCTGCATCAAATTTACTTTCAAACTTCTCTTAAAGTGCCAGGGCGAAAATGGATATGAATTAGGCTATTTTATCCTTTGCGATTCCACTCAACATTCACACAACAAACACAGGAGATGTCACCGGTCCACACCACAACACGTTTCCTAGTCTCCGCACACGGACCGCAGCAGCTGATTGGCCAGAATCGCCAACGTGCCGTTGTCCACGTGGTAGTTCTCGAACGCGCACGTGTAAAACTGGTCCGCGGTGACGCGAGGCATGAGCGCGTAGCAGGTGCGCGTCCAGAACTCGGCCACGATGCTGGCGGCCGACGTCCACACTCGCACGCCGTCAGGTCCTGGCCGACCCCCGAACTGCTCCGTCAGCAGCGCGTTCAGCGCCAGCGAGTCGTCGTTATAGCTCTGGCGCGAGGCACGCGGGTTCCCCGGCTGCTCGAGCACCCAGAGCACGCGCACGCCGCGCGCGGCGAGCCGGCGCACGTACGGCGCCGCCTCCTGCACCAGGTCGCGCAGGAACGGCATGAACCGGCTGAAGCGGCCCACCACCAGAAAGTGCAGGCCCTGGTTGACGAGCAGCACGTCCGGGCAGAGGGCGCGGCGCGCGCAGCCCTCCTCCAGCCGATGGAACACGTCCCGGAAGAGGTGCAGGCTGTGCCGCCAGCGGAACTCGAGCTCGATCTGCGGTCCGACGGCGACCATCGAGCACCAGGCGCGCGCCGGCTCGCCGGCGGCGCGGCCCTTGGGCCAGACGCCGACGCACGTCGAGTTGGCGTCAGCAAAGTGGCGCCACGGCGGCTCCAGCAGCTGGTCGACGAACGGCACGCGGTCGCCGGTCTCAGCGCGCGTCAGCAGGCGCAGCTCCAGCCGCGCCGACAGCTTCTCGAAGACCTGGCGCGCGCGGGAGTGGCCGACGAAAGTGAGCCTCGTGCGCCGGCCCAGCGCGGCCGCGCGCCGCTGGAGACAGGCGCTCGCCTCGACGGGCGACATGTCGGGCGGGTAGGCGCCGTCGGCGCGGCTGGTGATACTCAGCGGGTCGTCCTGGCGCCTCCCGCTGCGGGGTCAGTCGGGGTCAGCACACGGCCGGCAGGGCGGCCGCGGCCGGCCCGGGCCCAGGCACTGCCGAGGCCGGAGGTGCGCACGGACACTCATCAAACGGCCGGCGCGACTGAAGTGCGTGTCAGCACAACGCCCGATTAAGCCCGGGTTTAAGACTGTTCTGTGTTGACGTTTACAGCGACAACGAACGATGCAAATGGTCGCGGCATATGCAATGCAGCTCCGCGAAGAAGACTAAACATACCCATCCTCTAACGAATTACATGAAGTTTTCTTATCTGCATTAGCAGTTAAAGTTACCATGAATTTCATTGCGATTCCACAGATGGAACAAGAAGTTAAGACGATGATAACGTGCTCTTGTCATACTTCATAATGCAACCGAATAAAAAAGCGCCCGATTTACGCATGGTCATCTAAACAAGCCGGTTATTGCAATGAAATCGGTTTCTCTGCGGCTTTGCAATACCACGCACTTACCACTGGGAGCCTTCGTCGCGCGCTCCGCGCCTGACCACGAAGACCAGACAGGCCACCCCGAAGGCCAGCAGCCACGTCTGAGGGCCGCTCTTCCAGCCCCGTCGCACGATCGCACAGGTCATCGCTGAGACGATTTATCCCACCGTTTAATCCGTGAGAGCCGTCAACGGCCGTCACGTCACGATAACGCGTCAGTCAGGTCTGCCGTGTCAACGTCAGCAGGTCAGTCAAGGCGGCGGTGCTACTGAGACCAGCATGTATTAAATGTGTCATGTCGTTGATCTGTTCTGTCACTGATACCATATTGATCACGGCCACCGTGTCGCTGTTACCACACCGATCACCGTGTCACTGACACCGCATCGGTCACAGCCGCGGTGTCACTGGTACGTCATTGACATCGGCTGCCACGCCCCCGCCGATCGCGTTTTCGCCGCGGGACAGACTGAAGCCCCTCTGACCGTCAGTGACGTCACACAGGTTCGCTGTGTCAAGGCATCGGTGATAGTCGCCATGCACTGTGACGTCATCGGAGATAGGCCGTCATACCGAGCATTTCTATACCACTGCGTCGACCCCCGGTGTTTCGTCAATGTAACGATCAACGCTGATATGTCACTGTTCCGAGGGCTCCGTCGGCACCGCACCGGTAAAAGCCCGTGTCACTGCCCCGGTCACTCCGCGCCGTCACTGTCCCGGTCACTTCGCTGTCAATTTCCCGGTCACTCCTTTGTCACTACACAGATCATTTCTCTGTCCCTGTGTTGATCACTTCCCGTCACTGCACCGGTCGCTCCTCAGCTACGAAGCTGATCCCAGCTTCACACGGCCGCACCGACGGCATCTGCCGCCAGTCTGAGGCCGCGCGCCGCCAGACCGGCCGGGTGAGCCCAGCCTCCAGTCTTCGGGCGGCGGCGTCCGCCCGGCCGACCCTGGACTGCGGTGAATGACCCAGCCGGGAGGCTGCGGCCGAAACGGGAGGCGGGCGGCGCCGCCGCCGGCGGGCACGGCTCAACTGGGGCCTGAGCAGACGGTGCAGAGGCAGCGACTGCCTGGTAAATGCGCGCTTCTTCTTGGCAGCACGGAGTCCAAATGCGGGGAACAGGGTCTTCGCCAGCAGTCCAAAGTGTTGGGGGATCGAATTTGTTCTAAGTAATGGGCAAAAAGTAGCGACCGACCGACCAAAAGTGTCGTGTGAGCAGTGTCAAATGCCGCTCGCCCGGTCGGTGGTGGTGCACCAGCGACGAGCCGGGCGGGCACCCCTGGACTGTGGCATGGGCTGTGGTGAGCGGCGGGCTAGACGTGGTGGCACCGGCGCAGACGGCTCGCGTAGGGGAAGGGGTAACGACTCCCTACCGGCCCGCGCGACGGACCACTGCTGGGAGAAGCAAGGCAGCACACGGCAGACAGTTACGACGGAGGATTGACAATGAGATGCTTAGGCCGCAATATTTTACAGCTGTACAACATTTAGCATGGCGCGGGATTATGGATGAGGTTGATTACACTGCCAGCAGTGGCGTGATCATTTGCAATCTTCTCATGGCAGCACTGTTCACCCCAGCAGGTTGTCCAGAGTGCCAGCTGGACCGGAGTTGCGGCGCAGTCCGTGAGCGCGGCCAGCGGCAGTTGCTTGCTTCTGGCGCCTGACGGGAGGCTGTCAGCGGGCAGCTCTCGTCGGCCCGCCCTGACCGGGTCGGGGCGGCGTCACGGAGCCAGCGCATCCTGATCAGCAGATATTGCGCGTCCGACGGGTGTGAGGCCGCGCGTGCCTGAGCAGCCGTTCAGAGGGTATCTTTAGGGTATAGGTCACGGCATGCTCTCGTTTATGCGGACCCTGACTTGAAGCGTTTCCAGCTTCGAATACCTTAGTCTTAGCCCAGTCGGCCGTCGGGCCAGAGGAACTTTTTAGGTTTGTTGGCCCAGCAATCCGGCCGTTTGGTGCGTTGTGACCATGTAAAGCAGGGTTTGTATGTTTGACATGATCAACAGGATTAGTTGACCCACGCTTGCATGTATTTATCAGATAGCTACGCACCACAAGATATGAAGTCTATGGTGCCTGCATCTCCCATGCACCGGACATGCACCAAGCGTATTTCTCCAACCACGTGAACAAACATACACAAACTAAGCGAAGGCCCGCCGCACCGCGCGCGTTCGGCAGCACCCATCAGCTGGCGGCCGGGACCGCCATCAGCCGCCGGCTTGACAAACTGCTCTCGTTCGCAGAGCAAAAGTGGAAGCCGTACGTCGACTTCATGGACAAGAACTACCGTCCCAACTTCACGTACGCCGACTTCGGGCCTCAGTTCACGGCCGAGTTCTACAATCCGGACCAGTGGGCTGACCTGTTCAAGGCGTCCGGCGCCAAGTAAGGCGTACGCTGAGTCAGCCGCGTGCACAGGCAGGTGCTGCTATCAGCTCGCACAGCGCGCGCCGCCATTGCAATGTTTACACTAGTCGCAAGATTACAGATTGGCGCGGATGACTGGCACTGTTTGTGAGCTCAGCTGTTTGGTTTTGATTGACAACGGACAAAGGACACAAAAGGTTTTGATTAAAAACGGACAAAGAGCACAGAATGCGACCAAGGATATAACAGGACATTGAGATGCTTTCAGGGAGCACGCGCGACTTGAGACCAGTGCAAGCCTTGTTTGACATGTAACCAAGATGATAGCAGGGTGTATGCTAAAGTGCAGAATTAAAAGTCCCCTGACCATCACGCAGAGTTCTATGAATCTTAAGTGGAGCTCTGTGCTTCACTGAAAATACTTGGCACACTTGACGCTCATCTTGACGGTTATAATGGGGATTCAAAACCACAAAAAACTCCTCAAGCTCCCTTAACAGACTAGGCACAATGCTCAGCCTATCTGCTCCTCGAAAATAACTTCCTCGACCTCCGAATGAATGATGTGAGGCTCCGCTCTTTCCTCCAACTCACAGGTTTTTGATACCCGCGTGTCGCCCAGTATATACTGCGATTAGACTTCTAGCAGTAGGCTGCCATCATCGTCATTGTTGACCGCGTTAAAGTAAAAGTTAAGTTAAATGTTATTAAGTTAAAAACCATTCAACGTGGCGGCAGCTCTCATTCCCGTTCGTCCCCTGCCGTGGCAGCTGTCTAAGGGTCCTACGTCGACACAACGGTGGCGCACGTGACGCCCTCCGGCGAACTGACCCACGCCTCTGGCGTCCAGGTACATAGTGCTGACTAGCAAGCATCACGAGGGCTTCACCATGTGGCCGTCCAAGTACGCCTGGAACTGGAACGCCATGGACGTGGGGCCCAAACGGGACCTGCTGGGTGAGCCGCTTTGGTTGGAACTGGGACGCCATGGACGTGGGGCCCAAACGGGACCTGCTGGGTGAGCCGCTGTGACTGTGGTTGGGACAATGCACCGTGCACAAGCATGGCACGGCAGCCATGACATATTGCACGAGTGCCAGCCGTAATTACTGATACAGGAAGCAGGTCAAAAGTGTCGTTTCCTTTTGAATGTGTGCATAGTGCTGCATTCTGTCATGAAGTAGCGGGAAGATGCTAAGACCGGTAGCCGAACGCTGAGAAGGTTGATTTAAAGGTAGAACAGGACATTCCTGCAGTCAATGTCGTATATTTTTTAGGTCGGATGTTCCGAGAAGGCAACCATAAGGCGTCTGGTGTGGTGACGTCAGAGCCTCTGACGCGTTGTGCTTGTTGTCTCAGAGACACGCTACTAGTGTTTCCTTCTTCTCCCACTCACCCCACAGGTGACCTGGCTAAGTCCATCAGGAAGCGGACGGATGTCAAGTTTGGCGTCTACCACTCGCTCTTTGAATGGTTCAACCCCATCTTCCTCGAAGACAAGAAATCAAATTTCACCACCAAGATTTTTCCGCACGCAAAGACCATCCCTGAGCTCTATGAACTGGTACGCTTCTTACGTCATGTCGCGCCCACCCACGGTTTATGTTCTGTTTTTATCATCAAGCCATAGATACACTGACGAATTGATACAAACTGGCTTTCGATTGGCGACAAATTAACCTTGTTTTTGACAATCGGCAACAAAATAAACAAGCTGCCAATAGTTATATACACAAAGAAGTATTTGCAAAGGCGAACGACATTAAGCCATGACATTCGGCCACATGAATGTATGAACGCAAATTTTCGGGGCGTAAGGAAAGCTTTGCGTCTCATGCAGCTGACACCACCCAGTAGAAAGGCTCGGATAGAACTACTACCTGCTACCTACTGAGTCGCCACCTGCCATCGGCGTCGCCAGGTGGAGAACTACAAGCCGGACGTGATCTGGTCGGACGGCAGCATCGCCGCACCCAGCTCCGACTACTGGGGCAGCAAGGACTTCATCGCCTGGTTGTACAACGACTCGCCGGTCAAGTGAGCCGCACGCGCACCACCAGACTCCTGCGGGGCTGTGCTCAACAGGATCAGAGGGGGAGGGGGAGGGGCGGGGGCGACAAGGCCTAGGCACCTGGAACACCGCTCTGGCCGCGCGCTCTCAACACGTAGCGTGCTCTTGCCGACCAGTGCAATTGCATATTCATGAGTGTTGTGAGGAATACCCGCAGGGTCAGGACGGGAACGCCCGTGCTGGGTAGCGTATGTCCGCAGGTGTCGGTCCCACCTATCTTCTTTAAGTAAGTGCATACAAAGCTGCGACATGTCCATCTGATTTGATGTTGCTTTCTTTCTGCCAGGCGTTTGCTCCTCACGTTCGGCAATTCTGTTGAGTATAAGCTTGAGGATGGACCCATATTGAAAAGAAAAACATTGTCAAATACGCCGTAGACAACAGACGCAGGATACCACGAAATACAAAAGCAGGTGCTTCTGTCGCAGTGTTACAGACATGGCGGTAACCAACAGCCGGTGGGGACCGTCGCCAGCCTCTGACCGCCCTCAGGGACGCGGTGGTGACCGGCGCCAGCCTCTGACCGCACTCAGGGACGCGGTAGTGACCGGCGCCAGCCTCTGACCGCCCTCAGGGACACGGTGGTGACTGGCGCCAGCCTCTGACCGTTCTCGGGGACGCGGTGGTGACTGGCGCCAGCCTCTGACCGTCCTCAGGGACGCGGTAGTGACCGGCGCCAGCCTCTGACCGCCCTCAGGGACACGGTGGTGACCGGCGCCAGCTTCTGACCGTCCTCAGGGACGCGGTGGTGACTGGCGCCAGCCTCTGACCGTCCTCAGGGACGCGGTGGGGACTGGCGCCAGCCTCTGACCACCCTCAGGGACGCGGTGGTGACCGGCGCTAGCCTCTTACCGGTTCGAGCCGTCCGCAGGGACACGGTGGTGACTGGCGCCAGCCTCTGACCAGCTTGGGCCGTCCGCAGGGACACGGTGGTGACCAACGACCGGTGGGGCCGGGACGCCAGCTGCGCACACGGCGACTTCTTCACATGCCGTGATCGCTACAACCCCGGCGTCCTGCTGCCGCACAAGTGGGAAAACTGCATGACCATCGACAGCAAGTCCTGGGGCTATCGTCGCGAGGCGGTGCTCGCCGACTTCCTCACCATGGATGACCTCACTAAGGTCAGGTGCCTTTTATTATGGGTTTATCATGACATGTTCAGTTTAGATTTCTTTATAGATAAGGTGTCGGCCATAAAACAACTGGATGAGACAGAAACGAAAAAAGACATGCTAGCTAATAGTTTTCAGGCCCACTGAGGCCGGTACGAGGTGCATACAGGCCAAGGTGATTCCTACCATCCATTCCAACACTCCAGACCTTTCAGACTATTCTCTCAGAGCCAAAAACTTAGCTGGCGCAGTCACCTTTCCTCAGACTCCTAGCCTCCGAGACGCCACGACGACGGACAAGTTTCCTAAGCGGTGCCGCCCCTCGAGCGGCACCGAACAGGGCCGCGATGACCCGTCCGAGTGCCGCAGGTGCTGGCCGAGACCATCAGCTGCGGGGGGAACCTGCTGATGAACGTGGGCCCCACGCACGACGGCCGCATCGTGCCCATCTTCGAGGAGCGGCTCCGCCAGATGGGCCAGTGGCTCGGCATCAACGGCGAGGCCATCTACAGGTACAGGTGGCGCCACTCAAACCGCGGTGGCCGCGGGCTGAACCACTGTTGTGTCGCTCCCCACGGCGCGCTCGGATAAGGCGCTGAAGAAATGCAGAGGCTGAAATCGGAATAAGGCCCGCTGGCGCAGGAATCATGCACCACAATACCGCGCTGTGGCGTCCTGAGTCCATGCTTTCCGCATGATTAGGCTGGACCGTCTCAATTGAGCTATTTTTATAAATCGCAGGAGTACAAGCTGCACGTCAAATGCTCTGGCGGTGATAGACCGCACCCCTCCCTCATCGCGACGAGCACCCGGCATGGGCTTTGAAGCTTGCGTTCAAAATATTGTTCAGCAAGGGTTCAACGTGTTTTTTTGTGAACTCAACCGCACCTAGTTGTCTAAAGCATAACCAGGTCCATCGCGCAGGACCATAGCCATGTGCGCTGTCAGTGAAAACCGACCACTGTGCCAACACGTTGTCTTGGAGGCGACATCCCCGCGGTGCCCGCCCTTCCTGTCAGGTTGAGAGGCAGGCGACGCCATATGGCCTCAGCAGCTCAGTACGTCACAGTCACCCGATGACAACAACGGAGGCGACACGAGGCCTTCGTTCCAGCCATGGGTGGTTGTATCCGTGGTGACTCGTTTCACATACCTGGCGCGCGCTCTCCCCGGCCGGCAGCTCAAAGGCGTGGCACCACCAGAACGACAGCACCACCAGCGGCGTGTGGTACACGCAGCGAGAGAAATCGGTGTACGCCATCGTGCTGGACTGGCCCGACCGGGACATCTTGACCCTGGGCTCCATCACGATGGCCGCCGATGGCAAGGTCCTCATGCTGGGCCACAAGGACCCACTCAAGGTCAGCAGGGCCCGCCCCAGATCCCTAGCCGGCGCGGCCCGTTCTAGGTCAGCCGAGCCCATCCCAGGTCAGTGAGATCACTTTAGGTCAGCGAGGTCAATTCTAGGTCGGCGATGTCAGCTTCAGGTCAGCGGGGCCGACTATAGGCAAGCGAGACTAGGTCAGTCCAGGTCATCCTAGGTCAGTGGGATCACGTTAGATCTGCAGGACCAATTCCAGGTCAGGGAGTCCAACTCTATGTCAGGCGAGCTCATCCCAGGTCAGTAGGATCACTTAGGGCAGCGGGGCAAGGTCTAGGTCAGTGATGTCAGCTACAGGTCAGCGGGGCCAACTATAGGCCAGCGAGACCAGCTCTAGGTCGGCTGGACATCCTAGGCCAGTGGGACGCGTCAGATAAGCGGGACCAACACCAGCAGCGGGACCATCTCGAAGTTATCTGAGCTCATCCTACGTCGGTGGGAGCACGTTAGATCTGCAGGACCACCTCCAGCAGCGGGACCGTCTCGAAGTTATCTGAGCTCATCCGACGTCAGTGGGGCTACGTCAGATAAGCGGGACCAACTCCAGCAGCGGGACCATCCCAAGGTTATCTGAGCTCATCCCAAGTCAGTGGGATCACGTTAGACCTGCGGGAGCGACTGTAGGTCAGGGGGTCCAACTCTATGTCAGTCAAGCTCATCCTTGGTCAGTATGATGACGTTAGGTCAACGGGACCAACTCTAAGTCAGCGGGCCCCTTCCCAGCCCGAAGCGGGCGTTTAAGTCAACGTTGAAATGAATGATCACGGTGCGTTCAAGCAGCGCCCATTTATATTCACGAGTTGGGTGCTGTGCTTACAGGTGGCTTTGGTGCCCAACATAGTGGCCAACAGCCTGTAGTTAAAATTGACTGACAGGCGATGCTTGCCTCACTTTCATCTCAGGGCATGCGTTAGAGCAACAGATTGTCTTTGCCACGCCCCACGTGCGTCCGGCAATGCCTAATGAGGCGTGTGTGGAGTGCAGCAACCGACCGGCTACGGCGCCTCTAACCCGGCCGTCGCCGCCGCACTGTTCCAGTGGACCAAGGACGGCCAGACGCTGCAGGTGAAGTTCCCCGACCTGGCGCAGGTCTCGTCCCGCTGGGCCTGGGTGCTCAAATTCGACGCGGCCTCACCCATGTCCCAGGAGCTCAACCAGATCAGCCGGTGGGGCTAACGCCGAGGACGCTCGCGCTCGTGTTTCTGTCACGATGAACAATCCAGAATTGATTAGTAGGTAACATGTCGGCTGATGCTGAACGACGAATGCAGATAACTGGGAGGGAGCGCGGGCAGTCGGCCACGGCCAGTCACTATCCGATGCCGCCTGCATCGGACAAGCGTCTGGCACCGGACGTGGACCGTGTAAACGTCTGCTAAACACGGGCCGTGTGAAGGGACGCCGGACAAACGCCGTGTGGACTGACGCCACGCATGAGCGCCGTCCCCAAGACCGGTCGCGCCTGGTCGCTTCGGAGGGAGCGACACGACACGGTTCCACGGCCAGCGCGGGCTAGGCCCGTGTGCTGTTCGCGTGAAAGGCAGCATGAACGACGTAGCTGAATGGAGCGCCCCAGGGGTGCGCGGCGGCGCGTGCAGCCGGCACGACTCGTGTTTTGAACCACGACGCCGGGTGTGATGCGCACATCCCACATCTGGCCAGGTACCCACATGCTTTGGAATTCCGTGTTTGCTGGAATATAACCTTGGGACATCGTACACGTGATTGTCTGGAAACAGTTCTGTTGCAGCAAGGCTGTGTACCTACAGACAATTTGACGTGCTTCTGCAAGGTCTTCCCCATACATGCCAACATTCATCTCACCCTTCTGGTTTCACAAGCTCATGATGCGGCATGGGTGATCGTTTATTAACACCACTCAACCATTACGCACAGCGTTGGACCGTCTGTCGCAAAAGCGAGGAACACAACCGCAACGCCGCACTTCCTGCCCGCCGCCTTTGTTTCTCCCACGGGCAGCAGCCAGAACACACTTAATGCAATCCCAAGACGAAAAAACTGCGATGACCGGATGCCACTGACCAACATTTACAATTGTCTGTGTTACTAGCGCGGTCTTTGTGCACGAAACTGCATTCGACATCTAGATATGCGTGCCATAGGATGCAATGCCTCTCCGCAAAACCACGACAATCCTGAATTCGCGATCCTCGGTACGAAAACTGTGACGCATTCGGTTGTCTTGCACCACCCTCGATCTCTCCGGCGCCCTGGCAAACACCATGTCGGCGCCGGTGGCTCGTGCACGGCACCGCGTCCCACGCAGGAGCCGGGACGCGCATTCAGTGACCTGCGCCCAGCCGTCCATGCACACTCAACCGAAGAATCCAAGGTAACTGATGTCATCCCGCGTTGTGGCGAACTCTTCGGCAGTGCACAATGGGTGGAAGGGGACGGCTCCTAGCTGCGACTGCGAGACCTGCCGGAAAGACAAGGTTACACAAGGCACAACCCTTAGACGAAAAACTTCCAACTTCCGAGCCAACAGGCAGCACGTCAGAAATACAGGATTTAGCCAGAGACAGCAGACTGGAGCTTGAAGATAACAGCTCCCGTCACGGTCCCACACAAACTAGCCTGTATTTTAGCCGTCCATCTCCACATACCAAACGGAGCAACGACTAGTCCCGTGAGCAACACATCTCGAGTTCGCGGTGACTCAATCACCGGCCGCACAAATTCCGTTCTCTGTGAGTCAGTAGTCCGAATATCCATGCAGAAGATTGTCAGGCTGACAACATAGACGGGTAAGTGTAAATATGTGACGGCGTAATGTGTACACCTTCGCAATACGGTCATATTACGGTCATAAAGGTCACTTTGGTCATCTGGTCACGTCAAAGTCAGTTTGCGTACGTCAATTCCAACCAGCAAGAAGAGAATGCAGCTGAAAACTTAACGCCACCGGTAGCCGATAGTGGAGCACGGGAGCATGCACAACTATCGGCGCGCCCGCCATCGCACCACCCCACTCTCCGTGACGATGTCCAAATGTACGGGGACCCACAATGCCAACGCACAGATCACGCACGTTTCCGCGAGGCGGCCGCAACGGACGTGTTACTTCTAATCAGACGAGCTCAGCGCGAGTCTGCGGCAGACAGCGCGCGCCAACCGGCGTCAACGCAAAGGCACCGGTCCCAGGCGCCGACGCACTGACCTGCGGTAGTTGTTGTAAACGGGCGAGGCGCGCGGGCTGGTCGAACGGCTCCGGGACCTGGGCAGAGACGAGCAGAGCATGTCACAGGCGCCAGCTCAACCGGCTGTCCGCCGGCACCGGCGCGGCCGCCCGCAGTCCGCTGGCTGCGCCCGAGACCAGCGGAGCTCCCCACCCAGCGTGGTCACGTGTGAGGTGCCGCACACGGCGCGCGGAGGCGATGACAATCCAGGTGGCGCAGGGCTGGGGCTCCAGAACCGTGTGCCGGGGCATCTTATGTTCAGACTTCGCCGAGATTTTGGCGAAACGAACTCCACAAATTTGGCGCACCAGGTACAGGCACATTGTGGAAATTTGTGCCTTGTACCGGAATTCCGCGTCCACGAAGACGTGCGTCGCGAGGGTTCTAATAGCAACGGTTCGAATCCCAGCTGTGGCATGGTCCCTGAATGCTAATAAATTTGGCCTAATAAATGTGGCCAATGCAGTCGCCGGCGTTCCATAACAGGAGCGTGACGACAGGCGTCACATTCCCTGCAAAACGAGAGCTGTGTACAATACGTTCATGGTAATCGTGATTGGCAACTGCCGATAGGTGATAACGGCCCTAGCCGGAGGTCTTCAGAAATGGTAAATAACTGAGTTTTTGTAGCTGCGAGCGTTGTGATTAAAAGCGGCACCGTTTTCAGTTATATAAATCAATCAAAGCCGATTATAATGCTTCGATCAAAGGCGTCACGTCAAATGGAAAACGGAAATTAGTTCTAATGGCACGGACCTAATAGTTGGATAAATAGACCTGATAGCAATAAGAGCCTTGAATCCCGTTTTCCAGCATTTTGAGCTCCAAGTTCTTAGGCCGAGTAACCGATCTTCAGCATACCAGTAGGTGCTGGTAAAACGACACTATAGAACACACATTGGCTAAGACAGTACTGGACAGTACGCTTCAACCTGGGCTCATGATCGATTCATGAGTGAAGAGTCGGGCACGTTTAAGCAAAAAATCCCGCTTGAAAACCAAGACACATGAATCAATGAAATGATCAAAATCTGTGCAGACACCGCCACTAAGACGTAAAAAAATCATCCGACGTCCTACATCCTATCTGATGCACGGTTCTACACTAAATGGCTGTACAAAACTGGCGACTAAGTCCCAAGGTTACGATGACCTATAACAAATATTAATCACAAAATAGCATACGCCGACCACATTCATCACCACTGCTCACCACACCGAATTACTTACCACGATCATGTTCGTGAGGTTCGAGCCATGTTCGCGGCGCCTGATGACCGTGGTGCGCGACTGTCTAAACTAATATTCAGTGTTGGTCATCGTCACCTCCAGGCTCAGTCGCCTGCGTTTCGTGCAACCCCCAGCGCAAAAGCGTGCCCCCGGTGTTAGGATGTGGGAGCGCGGATAATTTATTTCAGACATCTTTTAGAGGCGGCATCTTTACATATTCCGAGCATTTTCTGGATCCACATAGCTCGTTTCCAACCGTATTTTTGGCCTAACCTTGCCCCATGTTCTTCACCCAGTGAGCACGAGCCAAGCCCGAAAGGTCGATTACTGCCAGTGACAACATAGACAACGCTTGCTGTATACCGTCGTCCAAGCCGTACTTCCTGGTGTACTGAAGGTCCATAACTCTGCACCAGAGCTCTGAACTCATAATGCTCACGCCATGAATAAAGACAACTCGTTAGGACAAGACTGCTTACAAGTTACAGATAGAGTACATGGGTGGCACGGGGTCAGTCCACATATATACTTGCTTGAATACATTCACTGACAACATAATCGCCGGCGCTGTTCAGATATCTCTGATAACCCCACATTGACACTTAGGTGCGTAAGGCAAAAGACTGAACATAGCCCGACGGGAGTTTTACCATTTTCGTCCTACTAAGGGGCCCGCAAGAGATCCATATCTTGCGAAGGAAGCAAGCTAGAGCCGCGGAGACAATGGGATTTCGTGAAGTGTAATAGGCAGACGCGGTTAAACAATGGAGAATGTGATTTATTGAATGGGAATTATTTCACAAATTAAGAACGCCACAATGCAGAAGACGGCGCTGACTAGCTCTTGAAACACTAGCGGCTAAGCAAAGGTAGACGTCGACGCATGACACCTATTGACATTTCGTCAGGTCAGGGGGATGATAGCTCTTGCTGCTTGATCCACGCGGCTACATAAAAAGCTTCATAACCCACAACAATGGGGGAAAGCAGCATTAGAACGCACTTCCAAAGCTGTAAGGTATGTGGTATTAATGTTTCACTCACATGACCCCGTAAGGGTCAAATCGGGTAAAAATATGCCAATTTTGACAGAGTCTGGTCCTGGATAACCTGTCCTAACGGAATCCACCCCAACTATAGCAATGCACCATAGCCATACAGACCAAAAACGCAGTCTACAAAGACTCTTCAAGGTATACATCCTGCAAGAAATAAACGTTACTTACTTTTGAGCAAATCGTCCCCTGTTGAAATATGTTGAAACCACTATGTATGAAAATGTATGAAGCCCCCTACACCACGCAAACAATCTTGTAAAAAGAAAAGACCATGCCTCTTATGGCCCATTTCCGTTACGGTGACACACTTGACATTTTCATATGTGCAGAAATTATCTACTTAGCTACCGAAATTGTGTAGAACTGTTCAGGTAATTACACAAAACCTGGGGGGGGGAGGGGGGGGGGGGGCATCTGAGGCTCCCTCGAATCGCGAGGTTAATGCCCACCTTAGTAAACGTCTACCATCACCATGGCCTACCTCAAAATGTCCGAAACATGTCGATGTCGACGCGAGTGTGACGTTCGCGACTGACGCAACTGAAGTCTTTCAGCACACGGATCGGTGCGTAAAATAGGTCTACCAACCAAAGGCAAGCTTATTCGGGGAGGGGGAACTCACCCATCATGGAAAAAGACGAATCAATCTTTCAAAGGCGCGCGGATAACTAACCATTGCGCGTGTTGCTCAGGGAACGACAGCGATTATCACACGTTTTGCCACGGAGCACAGCAACTGCAAAGGCGCTGATGCCCTGACACCTGCACGGTTGTTGAAAAGGGAAGATCAATCCGACAAAGCTAGGCCACCAAGACTATGAGACAGCCGTCTTGCAGACTGTGGACTGGGCGACCACAGCTCGGCACGAATCCGAGCACTGCACGAGCAGGCTCGGCATCTCCCGATCACGCCACGCGCAGCAGCGACTAACCCGTTCTCCAGTGTGGGTGACGACAGCTATAAATTGTAGTGACGCTCGATAGCGTAGTGTTCGACTCTATCCCATTACAGGAGGCGTCAGATTTCACTAAAATGCACACAATTGTTTTGGGAGTCCATTGGGGCAAAGCAGTCAAGACGTGACTAGCTCCAAATCGGATGTGGGGTACTGTACTGAAATCCTCAGTCATTGGGCTCTAAAGCTACGACCCTAAATGGCAACATCTGTACGTGAAACAAAACTGCATGCTGCAGAATGGATTGAGGTGCAAGTAGAGTACAGTACTTGAATACAAATATGCGCAGTGATCCAGGGACGGTTACAGAACGTCACCACAAAAAATGTCTTTCCAAGTTAACCGTGCGAGCAGCGCGCCGTCACCACCACCACGGGCTACTTCAGTACCACGTCAGCCCCTGCGTGACTAGCATGCACGGAAACACGCCCCTCAATGGATGATTTTATTGTTGTCGACGGAGGGGATTATAATGGACACCATCACAAACTTCAGAGCTTGCCGCCGACCGCGCGGAAGCGTCCCCATGCAACAAAATGAGTTTTGACCTCGCAGCCCTCCTGGTACTGTGCTTTAACCAAACAAAGCCCACTGCACGAGACACGTCACGGCCACAGACAGCGGCAGCCGCAGGAGCGGGCTCCGCACGCCGGCCGCGCCGCCGGCCGACGCAGCGGGGCGGCGCCGAGACGGGAGGGCGGGAGGACGGGAGGGGAGAGGAGAGGGGTCTGGCGTTCCCCGGATGACGCGGCTGGCCGGTGTCTAGTCCCGGCTGCCAGATCTGGGGCCAACGGCAGTGCATCAACGCATCGAACCGAATGGACGAGAGCAACTATCCCCCCCCCCCCTCCCCCCCGAAAACACCCGTCCAGCGGCTAACAAGCAGAGCGACTCACTTTACCCGAGCACGACCGACCAGTCCGAAAGCTTAAACGGTCAACAGCTAATTCAGCCAAGCGCCCAGAAATTAAAGACCATGCAAAAGGCCAATAAGAATTCCGAACACAACTGCCTGATAACCATCACGTAAATTCGCCCTCCTCTCGAACCGCAAGAATATCATTGCTCCTTTCCCCCTATCTCAGGCAGCCCAAGACCTGACTCTCAGCGGTGTGGCCAGTCACCAACGATAACAAGCGGACGGCAACCCTTCACACCACCATGTGCCACACGACATTCACCAGCGGGTTAGGCGAGCGACAGTGGCCCCCACACCGGGGCCGCGTGTCCCTACCTCCTGTAGCGTCCGTAGACGGGCGAGGCGCGCGGGCTGCGGCTGCGCGAGCGTCGGCGCGGCGACATCGAGCGGCGGCCGGGCGACCTGCGCAGACGGACGGCGTCAGCCCGGCGGTCCCCACGAGCCCCCGTCACGTCCCGTCCCATCACGTCGCGGACCGCTCGCCGACACGGGCGCCACACTGAGACCAATGGCGCACACCTCCCACTCAGCTGTCAATCGGCCGGGTTGGTTAGTCCACACCTCTCAGCACGCCAGGTGGCAACCCACAGCAGCCGGACATTTGCTGCAGACCTTGACATTCATTAGAGGTAACAGCCACTGAAAAGGTGATGCAGACTTTGCCATCCACTCGTCAGAACAGCAGCTGGAAAAGCGCTGCCAACTTTGAAATGCGACTGAAAGACATCTTCCAAACCGTTTTACGCGGCCCACCTCTTTACAGTCAGATATGCTCCAAATGGCATTGGACACGGCGCGTCTTGATTTGGATGACTTCATACTTACTTGCTTGGGGTTTAAGCGTAGGAGCGGAGCGGAGCGGAGCGAAGTGAAGTTGAGTTGAGTTGTAACCCGAGAAGCAAGTGTGTAGCCAACGCGGAGACTAATGCACAATCAACGACACGACGCGATGAGGCGATGGCGCGTTGCATGAGATGCAAGACGGGGGTGAGCCGGAGTCCCACGATGGGCCGGGTCGAGTCAGGCCAGGGTCGACCCGACTCTCACGTGACCAACAAAGAAGGCGTTGGGTGTTGGGCGGAGGCAAGGGATGATTGAGTGAAGATTGGAGATCTGTAATACGGGCAGCACCACATTAGGGCGGTGCAGAACCAAGCCAGCACACTCACAAACCAGTACACCATCCGTCCGCGGCAAGTCAAACCTGGTGTCACGTGACATGCCAACATTGCAGCGGCGGTCTCCGACCCAATGTACAACAAGCCACGGCGAACTTCGCAGCCACACGGACGGCGCACGCGCGCTAACCTGCTGCGGTACGGCGCTCCGCCGCCGCGGCCGCCCATGCCGCCGCCGCTGCCGCCGCCGCGATTGCGGCTCTTGCCCGACGACATCTCCACGCGCACGCGCTCGCCGCACATCCGCCTGGAAGTGATGAGGTGATCAGCCAAAGATCAGGGCCAGGTACATGGTGACATCACAAAAACTCAGCCATATGCATTAGATAAGATAATAACAAGGTTAATTAAGTTTCATGGCACTGAAAATTCCACCCTCTGCCCTGAAACTGTTCACCATTCCAACACTTAACACTGCCAACTTGTCATGTTCTCATGGGGACAAGGACCAATGAGTCTTCTGCTATAAGCATTGACCAAAAAGCTTTTCAACACCAAGTCAATCACCTCATGACATGCTAAATGCTATACCATCAAATGCTGAAGTATGAATTGCTATAATCAAGATATGGTCTGTGGGCCAAATGAAACTGAGACACATGCATACACAAGTCGCTAAATGTCATAATGGAAGAAGTAAGATACAGACATGGACACACTGACATGGGCAGCCACAATACCTAGAGTACTTCATGAGCAGCAAACCATACTTACGTTCCATCCAGGGCTCTGCAGGCGTCCTCGGCATCCCGTGGGTCCTCAAACTCCACGAACGCGAAGCCAGGTGGGTTGCGGGCAATCCAGACATTCCTCAGGTTTCCATACTTGCTGAAGCTGGCCTCCAGCTCATTCTTGGCAGCACTGTTGCCCAGGTTACCAACATACACCTTACACTCCAGATTCCAGTTCCGAGTGGCCATGGCGGATAACCTGGAATGTGACAGGTACAATGTGTCACAGACATGCCAATAATAACCATTTTAAAAACCAATCTGCAGTCAGCTTCATCTAGGAATAGTCATAGTGATCACACCTCTTGCTACTAGATGTTTGGTATGTGTAGTGGGGATTCACTTCAGACCATGAGCATTTGATGTTGAACATATGGCACACTCCTGCTCTGCTATGAAGTCATCTTGTAAAGAAATGGTCTTATGAAGACAGTTTCACAGAAAAGGGTGATGGAAACCCAATTTTTGGCCCTGGCAACTTATTTTCCAGAGACCATTACATGAAATGACCTAACTGACCTAATGACCTGGCTGCTATTATATTGTGGCATATGATTTGCTGATTAGGAAGCAGATGAGCAGCCTGTTTGGAAAGGAGAACCTGTAGACACTGACAAACCCCAAGATCCTGAAGTGGTGAACAGTGGTGAACAGTGCTGAACTCATATAAATGGGCATGGTGCAGCCCATATTATAACCTACAGCATCCTTTGCATTTCATAGTCACAACCAAAACTACTCAATATCCATGGTCACTCTGAACTTTGGGGATTCCCTGGCATCTGTCCCCAACATGCTAAGTTTCCATTCATATGATATAAAAACAAACAAAACAACAACAAACAAAAATCCACACAAATAATTATTTGGGCCACCATTCATGCCTGGCTTTTATGCAGGCCATGTACATCTCACACTGCTGATGATAACATAAGTCAACAGTTATTCCACATGATGCCTCAAACATTTTTAGTCAGACAATTTGTACCAACACATGTTGAAAGAGGAATGCAGCAGGGAATCAAGATAAAATGATGCTTTCACAATGTTAAAGGGAGTGTCCCACCTCTAGGACATACTTTAAAAACATGCTTAAATGAAACCTCAGGACTAGCTGGTGTAATAATAGCAATGGGTAGTGCCGCTGCAGCACTGTCACAACATAATAAGGGAATCAATTTGAATTATCTTTAGTCCAAATCACGCAGCCAAAACTTCATAACAGCACCATGCTTCTTCACCCCAACCATTGGTGTGATGACAACTACTCTGCACGCCTCTACTGGTGTGGATAAAAGAAAGTTTGTGATTGGCCTAGTGGGCAAGGCCCTGTTGCCAGGACCTTGGTTGAAGTCTGAACCAGTGATTCACCACATGCATCACATGATACCCCATTCCCAAAGCCAAAGTGTGTCTCAAAAGGAGCCACCATGGCAAATTCTATAAAGGAGAAACCAAAGCCATAACATAACATTTTGTTTTCTGTTGAATTCACATGACAATGACTCTGTATTCACATATCTTGCCCCATTGCTGAAATGTCTGTTGCTGGAAGTTTGAACCCATGTGCCATCACATCACCCCTGATATACTGTTTAGTGGAAACTTTTCCTTTAGACACCAAAATTTCCTTATTTGGTATGCTTCTCAATGTCATTGTTTGATTGCATCATGGAATGCTCACACAGCAATAAGATGCTATGAACTAGCTGTGTGGAATTACCATGACAGCAATGACATGTAGCATTCCTACTTGCTAAGAGATGGCATTGACAGTGCTGAAAGTGTTTCCCATGCCAAATGTTGCTGTTCTTAGTGTGTGATATTTCCATAACAACTGGCAATTACATCTAACTGTTTTATTATGCAGCACAAAGCATGATCCATGATTGAACATTGCACAGCCTGCACAACATTAATTCAGAGCTAACTGACCTCTACCATGTTAAGATATCATGCTCACAGACAATACCAGATCTAAAAGTAAGACCATAGCATTCCTCTACAAAAATCAAGATCATAGTATCATGTTGCATGGCAATGGGATGACATAACTTGAATGACGCTGCTGTGGTGCCATGCACAACTGAATGGCCTAGAGACAGTCTGCATTTAGTAGCCTGCACATCTTCATAGGCATGAGCCTCAGAGGCTGGAGCTCTTTAGGTCTTAAGGACAGGAGCTCTCATGCATGTAGCTCATGAATGATATCTAAAATGGCTATTTCAGTTCAAAACCCTATACAAATGTGAAACACTCCTGTTAAGACAGCTTACCATTTCAATTCAGTAAATTTACAATATTTTGAACATCTGGAGAAAAAAAACTCATCCTATCATGAGGGCATTGCAGACCACTGCAATTTTTCATTCTCACTTCACCAAATGCACCAATTTCATATTACAAAAATGCTGTGTTAAAATTGTGTCTCAACCAGGCTTATAACACTTAACATGCAAAATTGTCATAGAACATTATGCACATGGTACATGCTCTGCCCAAACTTTAAATATTTATAACACTAATTTTTCTAATCATAGCATCAACATGCATCAGCTGAGTGCATGCACATCATAAACCTAAGCATTTAGAATTTGATGTAGCTAGCCCCAATTACAGCACAACTTTTTCAATGTAATTGACATGTTAAGTCATGTTGCAAAAAAATTAAGGCAAAAATACTCAAAACAACGTTTAAAATACATGAATAATCAAAGACCTGACAAATTGGTCTGTTCTGAGTTGATACATGCAAGTATTGAGGCTTAGCTCACATGTATTTGGGGCAGCAGATGACTTTATGAAACTGGTGCTATGGTGCAAACAAATGAGAAAAAAAACGTTAACACTAACTGTTAACACTGCTCCACAGACAACCAGGGAACAGGTGACCACTGAAACCCTCTGATCAATCAACCAAATAGGGAGTTGATGTACACCTAATGCATGAAGAGAAAGGTGCATTGATTGAAACTCAGCACGAAAACTGCGCCAAGTTTGTGCGCGATGCTGACCGGCACGGCAGGCAAGGCACGGCAGAATTGCCACAGGTAACGCAGCGACCAAACTAATCAGAAATATAACCCCACTGAACCTAGAGCTACATACTTCCACAGCCATCTCATCATTCACTCACTGGCTTCCTGAAAACGTGCAGACAGCGAGCACGTAATCCCCGCCAACCCCACCGGCCGGCAATACAAATAATCAAAGCACATAGGTGGCTGTCCATTGTCAAATAATGGACCCATTCACCCATTATCATAAAACGCAAACAAATGAGCAATTTCCGACCAATTACTTACCTGGCGTCTGTAGCTCGACCTCCGGCAGCGACTGCGCACCCCTGCAAAATATGGCGTCCAAAACCGTCAGGACCGGAAATCACAACTGCGCATGCGCTCTTCAATGAGATGGCCAGCTGACAGTTATGGAAAGCTGCTGCTAAATTACAGACCAAGAAAGTGCCTTTAAAAATCACGCACTGCTACATTAATTATAGGTGATTTACCGCGCCAATCTACCGACAAACCCCTGCGTCATAGCATCAAAGCATGGAGCAGGTTTCTGTGGGGGGGAATGTTCAGGGCTTTAAAGAACTCTTACTGTGAGTCAAGCCCGGCGAATGGGGGATGGGGGGGGGGAGGTGGAATGGAGGACTTTTCCCTCGCTTTAATTCGAATAAAACCCTCTTGAAATCAGTAAATAACATGGGTGCTGTGCTAGACCTGTTTTTTGCCACTGGCGCATAACCTACACCTCATTATCTCATCTATGCCATCGCGGCAAATATATTCGGATTGTGTGTCAAATTACGGCCTGCGCACAGGCTGGTCAGATTTTCTTATCCAAACTAATGGTCATAAATGTCCCAGAATTCCCAGTCCCAGAAAAACAAAAACAAAAAACAGGAACATCTTCTTGCCTGAGCCCTGCTACCGTCCGCCGTAGGCAGTCACTGCCCTGGACCAGCTATCCCACGTGTGCAAAGATAGCCTACGGTCAGCTCACCCTTGGAACCTGAGGGCCCATTTGCCAGCACGGTTAAAGCCGGAGACAGAAATTTACGTTGGCCGGGGCCATGGGTGTCGATTTTTCAACTTCATTGGAGGGGCAATTAGTCCTGAAAGCTGTCGAAAGATGAAAGTTAGGAAATTTGATCGGATTTCATCCATTTGTATCTGGTTATACCTATATATATATAATAAATGTTTGAGAAACAGCCGCTGATTTCACACTAGCCAGCTTGTTGATGCCTCCTTCGAGGCTCCGGGCTTTCCACATAATGTCCGTGAAGTTAGCGATTTATTCAGCGATTTTTACAGCGACGAGTCCCGATTTCCCTGAAAAATGGTTTCGAGGTCAATTGTGGCATGATAACACCAAAAATGACCCTTATTGTATATCAATGTGATGCAATGTATGCAATGCATTGTTTATCAAATGCAATATCATGCGATCTTAAAGATCAAAAGCTGGGTAAAAGGGCGGGGAACTCGATATCACCCAAAAATTACCGGCCGATTTTCAACTTGCAAATGCCAGAATATTCAACACAGAAAAAAACAGGCGTCCGTCCAAAAGTCTTGACCTCTCAAGGTCAACCTTCACGGCCAAACACGGACTAAAAGACGGGAACTCCATATCCCCCAAAAACTACCGACCGATTTTTAACTTACAAAGATCAAAACAGTTCACCACAGAAAGAACTAGCGTCCGTCAAAAAGTTCCTGACCCCTCAAGGTTACCCTGCAAGGTCAAACGCGGGCTTAGATGACGGAGAATTCCAATATCACCCAAAAATTACCGGCCGATGTTTAACTAACAAACATCAGAACACTCACCACAGAAAAAACTAGCGTCCGTCAAAAAGTCCTGACCTCTCCAGTTCACCCTTCAAGGTCAAACGCGGGCTTCAAAGGGACGGGCAACTCCATAGTCACCCGAAAAATTACCGGGCCGATTTTTATTTTAAAAAAAGGCCAGAACATTCAACACAGAAAGAGCTAGCGTCCGTTAAAAAGTCCTGTGCTCCTCGAAAAATCGGCAGGCAATTTTTGAGTCATATGGAGTTCCCCATCCTTTGAGCCCGCGTTTGACCTTGAAGGGTGACCTTGAAAGGTCAGGGACTTTTTGACTGACGCTAGATTTTTCTGTAGTGAATGTTCTGATCTTTGTAAAGTAAAAATTGGGCGGTAATTTTAAGGTGATATGGAGTTCCCGTCTTTGAGGTCTCGTTTGACCTTGAATGGCGACCTTGGGAGGTCGGAACTTTTGACGGACGCTAGCTTCTTCTGTGATAAGCATTCCGATGTTTGTTAGTTAAAAATCGGCCGGTAATTTTTGAGTGATGTGGAGTTTCCGTCCTTTGAGCCTGCGTTTGACCTTGACGGGTACCTTGAGAGGTCAGGACTTTTGACGGACGCTAGTTCTTTCTTTGGTGAATATTCTGATGTTTGTTAGTTAAACATCGGCCGGTTATTTTTGCGTGATATGGATTTCCTCCGTTCTTTGAGCTCGCTTTTGAACTTGAAGGGTGACCTGACAGGTGAGGACTTCTTGACGGACGCTAGCGCTGTTTGTGGTGAATGTTCTGATCTTTGCTAAATAAAAATCGGCCGGAAATATTTGGGTCATATGGAGTTCTCCGATTATTCAGTCCGTGTTTTACCTTGAAGGGCAACCTTGAGAGGTCAAGACTTTTGGACGGACGGTAGTTCTTACTGTGTTGAATATTCTGACATTTACAAGTTGGAACTCGGCCGGTAATTTTTGGGTGATATCGAGTTTCACGTCCTTTGACCCAGCTTTTGACCTTGAAGGTCACATGAGATTGCAAAATAAGGGTTATTATTTGGTCGTCTCGAGACCTTATCTCACCGTTAGAGAAATATAAATGGCACAAGAAATAAGTTTCGAGTTTTAATGACTGCAGTCCTGCATAGCCGTGTAAAAAAACATCGTTGAGTGCGAAAAACACGAAAACATCCATCGTTGTTTGGATCCGTATGCAAATTCATCTGTAATAAAAAAAAACACTACAAAAGCATTTACCTGCAATCACATGTACAGGTAACTATTGGCCTCCACTTAGTATCTCAAGGGCTGTGTAAGAATTGGTTTATTTGGTTAGGGCTAAAAAGAATTCGTTGGTAATTACACTTTCCCAAATTTCAAGGCGTCGTCTGTCATTGCGCGCTGAAGAATGCCAGCGTCGTCCGTCAGTTGTTGCCGTGCCAATGACCTGTCACGTTCGTGCCGCATGTGCTCAAGAGGTGCCCCGTCGCCTGGGTACATCGTTACTGTGAGAGTATCGTGGTTACGCCGATGTAGTGCATGGACGGGAGTTTGCAGCCTTTGAGATTACACTTGAAATTATATACTACATTGGCGCATTTTAGCCTTTCTGCTTTGTCAGGGCTGTTTTTCATAAGAAAGCTGGAGATTTTGCTGTTGCGATGATAGATGACAATATATTTTCTGTGGTCGTTTTTTTCCGTTCACGTGTCGGTATAGGATTTCCTATAGAGCTCTTTCGTCTCGTTTGTGGGTACCTGCCATTTGATCTTTGTTACACAGTTGGACGATTGGTTGTTTGGCTTGGATCGGTTTATTGTCAACTAGTCTTGTCAGATGTCGTATTTCGTTTTCAACAACTGAAGTTGAAAAAAGCCGTTGTTCACCGATTCATGCCAATTCTGTTTGTTCTGTTCAATTCTATTCATAATTCACCTGTCTGATTCATGTCAATTCTGAATGAAATCCTGTCCAATCAGAACGGTGTTTAAATGCACGTTAAAGGCATGACACTAATTTTGTGGCGTCAAGGAAATTCACTGTCAGCATTTAAGCACCGTCCATTGCTTGTATTCAAACGTTCTAAATCGCTATCTTTGTCCATCAACAGGTCACGCCAAGAAAGAGTATTATGTATTTGCACACTCAGTTATGCTGTGATTTTTAAACCACATGGTTCTTCAATGGTATTGGGCAAAGGCGATCGGCAAACCAGATGCCTATCAGTTACTGTAAAACAAAACATAAGCGCTCTTCCACGCACCACATAAGACAATGAAACCCAACCTCTCTCCGAATACGCTTAGGCAGATGCCCCCCTGATGGGAATGTCTTTTTCCCCGCTCGTCTCGATGAACTCGCATTGCGAACCTGGCATACCCTAGGGGCACACTGTTCTTAACTGCGATTTTCCTCAGAACGGAAAGTGACCCTCTCCCGAATCAGTTCGAACGTTTGGTCAATGAAATGCACGTCATGGCAAAGTCATACGCAAATACAGGTTGGTTGTAATAGCATTGCTATTTGAACTGGCTATTCTGTGTCCATGCGATTATACTTCTGCACGCATACTCGGTACCCAGTGAGCTCACCCACGCTCAGCCAGCCTGACTTCCTCTGGAGTCCGGATGGCACTGGCGATGATCGCACCTTCGAAGCTTCGCTATCACTCTGGTCGAAAAATGCTTCCAAATGCAGCATCGGTGCAGCGCCCGCTACGTCTGCGATAGTGCTGCAGTAGAACACATTCGGTAGCACTGGTGATTGCAGCGTTTGGCATATGAGGTTCTTTGGAAGCAGATGACGGTGATGGAATTGCACACCTGAAATTCCTGTGTGATGTCCAGGACGGGGTTGCACAAAAAATAGCACCAAGGTACTACCACGCATTAAAAAACTTCATGGAACAAACCAACGGCGCTATTAACTTTACAATGGTTAAGGTAACTCTTCCTTAAGTGATTCATCGGATTTTTGGAGGGCTTTACAGAGATATGTATTCAGGGCTTCGTGGCCGTAGATTGTCGAAGAAAATAGGATCCGAGTTGTGTGTTGACATTGTCAAGCCATATTCGTCCGGGAATTCCAGCCTTTAACCAAAAATACGACAAGTGAAAAACTAGATCAGACAGTTATGAACATGCGTGCTCGCAAGTCTTCCAAACAAAACCCGACTCCCGGCGCTGCAGGCTGCGAGGGCCGCACGGCGTCGGCCTCCGGTAACACTAGGCTCTGGCCAACGGGAGGGAGGGGGAGGGGGGGGGGGGGTGGCGAAAACGGTGGCGCATCTGGAAGAAAAACGTTTAACGCCTTGGAACATCTTTTTGAATGCGTTAAGAAGACAGTCAAGGCAAATATTTCATCTTTGCGATGGTTATATTGACAATATGAACGAATTGACATTCACTGCACCGTGAAATGTTGCCGGAGTATAGCGGTGGTTGAACTGTAAATTCAAAGACACAATCTATATTTTTGTGTTGCTGCAACTGTTCAGTGGTTCACAGGCCAGCCTAAAAAAATACGGGTGAAATATACGGCCTAGTGTCATTTTTGAACAACGCGAATTGGTTTTGAGAGACTT